GCCAAGGGCACACTCACCCCCGACGGACGGAGGACAGACAGACTCAGACTCAGCAACAAGACTAGCAGCGTAGTCTAGACGACAGCGAGCAGCAAAGTCGACGAGCTCAGTAACTAGGGCAGACGCAGCAGTGGACTCAAAGGAAGGGTCAGTGACAACAGTAGCAAGGAGACGCGCGACAGTAGGACTGGCAGCACGAAGAGAGTCCGACTCCGGGTCGGGAAGAGCAGGAAGAGAGGACTCAGGAGGGATAGGCAAAGGGGCACGCAGAGGAGCAGTGGACGGACGCAGAGACATCCGGTGCGTGCCAGGGACAGGAGGAGGACGCTGACGCGAACCACGACCACTAGTGCGAGCAGCACGGACAGGCGACGCAGGGCGAGACGCAGGCTCACGACGCTCAGTAAGACCTCCAGTAGGACCAGTGTAGGGAGAAGGAGCAGGCAGTGGGGAGGCCGGCTGTAACTGTAACTGAGACGGGACAGGCTGTGGACACTCTAAGGGAGGAGGAGGAACAGTAGAAGGCGGGAGACCAAGAACCTGCTCAAGGAGCGGAACGAAGTACGGTCGAGGCCGCGCAGCGACTCCAGACACAGCAGGGACAGCACCAGTACCCCCAGTGGTAGCACCAGCGCCAGCAGCACCTCCAGCTCCAGTACCTCCAGCAGCACCAGTAGCACCCCCAGCAGGACCGCCTCCAGGACCGACAGCAGTAGCCTCAGCGCCAACACCCTCAGTAGCTCCAGCTCCAGTCGGACCACGAGAAGACGCAGTGGCACCAGCTCCAGTAGTACCTGCAGGCCCAGCAGCTCCAGTACTCCCAGTACGAGCACCTCCGGGACCCGCGGCACCAGCACCCTCAGCAGCCGAAGAACCTCCAGCTCCAGCAGCACGCCTCCACCGCCTGGCAAACCACTCGCGCAGCTCCTGTGGAGAGAGTGGCTCCCGCCGAGACGAAGCACCCGGAGAACCTCCAGGCACAGTACCGCCAGACGCCACGCGAGCGGGCCCAGCTCCCTCAGGCTCCGCACCCCCAGGCTCAGCACCTCCAGGCGTAGCACCCCCAGGCTCAGCACCCCCAGGCGTAGCACCCCCAGGCTCAGCACCCCCAAGCGTAGCACCCACACGCTCAGCACCCCCAGAGTCAGCACCCCCAGGCTCAGCACCCTCAGCAGCACCAGAGTCACCAGCAACCTCGACAGGCTCGACTGCGTCTACCTGGGACACACCTGAAGGGGCAGGACCCTGAGGGGGAAGGGGGTCTACCGGGGGGGGACCTGGCACAAGGAAGAGCGGTGGCGGGGGGAGGGACGGAGTGCGGTAGGGGAAGAGGCGGTAGTAGGGGACCGACTCGTCAAACGTGACGTCCTGGGAGGACAGAACACGGCGAGAGGTGGGGTGGTAGAACTGCCACCCTGGCGCGTCAGGGGGGAAGCCAAGGAAGACACAAGGAGCAGCACGAGGGGACAGCTTGTCCGCAGACAAGTCGCGGACAAACGCCCGAGATCCCCAGACACGGAACGCAGACGCATCGCCAACCTTCCCCGTCCACAGCAAAGCTGGGGAGGTCTCCGGCATGGAGACCCTGGGCTGAAGGTTGATCTGATGCGCCGCGTACCGAACCGCAAACGGCCACAGAAAATGGGGGGCAGCCGCATGCATCATGGACGTACGAGCGACGTCCATGACCATGCCAATGCGGCGCTCAGCAATCCCATTTTGCTGTGGAGAGTCCGGAAGCGTGAAGGTCTGGCGGATGCCTCGTGCACGACAGTAGGCTCGCAGAAGGCCAGAGGAGAACTCTCCGCCTCTGTCAGAGTGCAGACGCAAAACAGGAAAGTCCGAGCCGAAGCTCTGCCTGAGCTGGAGACGAGCTGCGCGGATCCAGTCGATCAACACCTCAGTGACATCACCCTTGCTGCGCAAGGGGAAGACTGTGGTGTAACGCGAGTAGTCGTGAACCACCAGCAGGAAGTAGCGCTCGTGACCCTGTCCACGGACGCGGGCCGGGCCCCACACGTCCATGTGAAGCGTCTGCAGCGGGGCCTCTGTCGGAGGAAACTGGGAGGAGTGAGGGGCAGCCCGCTGCCGCCCCTCGACACAGGGGACGCAGGTAGGGGCAGGCCCCGGAGGAAGGGGAGGGAGGGACCGGGGAAGACCAGAGACAAGGACACGGGAGGCCATGCCTCGGAGACGAAGCAGGGAGGGGTGACCAAGGCGGTGGTGCCAGAGGAGAGTCTCGTGAGACAGGAGGCGACACGAGCAGGGGGCAGACTCAGGACCAGACCTGGACGTCGCAGCAAACACCTGACCCGACGCAGCTACCTGACCAGACGCAGTGACTGGAGGAGACGCAGTGGTCAGTGTGTACAGGCTCGACCCCGGCCGACGTGTAAACGTGGCCAGGTGTCGGCCTGTCCGAGCGTCCGTGCAGTGGGTCATCCGCTGGCTCGCAGGAGTGAACTGGTGAACCCCTGCATCCTGTAGGTCAGCACCACTCACCAAGTTCGTAGAGAACGAGGGGAGGTAAAGACCAGACAGGGTGCCAGAGGGGGCCGCCGGACACGGGAGGACAGTGGAGAAGTGAGCAAGGACAGGACCCCCAGAGGGGTCTGCCAGAGAGACTGCAACTGGCCGACCAAGCGGCGTGAGTGTGGTGCGGTCTCGAAAGAAGGAGCGAGAAGCCCCCGAGTCAAGGGTGAAGGTGTGGGAGGCCGAAGCCGACGCAGTACCTGAGAGAGCAGACTCACCAGCACCTGAGGAAGCAGACGCACTAGCACCTAGAGCAGCAGCCTCGCTAGCACCTAGAGCAGCAGCCTCACCAGTACCTAGAGCAGCAGTCTCAATGCCCGGGTCGGGCGGAAAACACCGGTAACAGTCACCCTCATCACTAATAGTCACAGCATACATGGCAGCAAGAATAGCATCAAAGTCAAGGTCAAAGATAGCTACTCCCGCCCTAGACAGCTCGCCCCAGCGAGGGATCTCAGTGGCCTCAGGGAACTGGTGACGCCAAGCGTCCGTCAGGCGGCCAAAGCAGCGCTGGGTGGAGTGCGCACCCCCGCACTGCTCACCCGGGCGGTCGCCGGTGCGTAGGACGTAGGTGCACGGACCAGTACCCCAACCCCGCTGGCGTGCAGCGTACCACTCACGGAGCTGCTGAGGGGGGGGGATGTCCCGAGTGCGCTGCTGCTGCTGCTGCTGCTGCTGCTGCTGCTGCTGGCGCTGACCACCACCGGAGCCAACCCTCTGCGCAGCGCCACCCCGACCAGCTCCACCTCCTCCGCCGCCGCCTCCTCCACCGCCGCCACCTCCGCCACCTCCGCTCCCACCGCCACCGCCGCCTCCGCCTCCGCCTCCACTGCTGCCACCGACACCTCCACCCCCGCCACCACCCCCACCGCCACCCCCACCCCCTCCGCCGCCTCCACCGCCGCCTCCACCGCCCCCGCTAGCTCCTCCAGCGCCCCTGCCCCCCTTGCCCTTGCCAGGGCGGCGTTTCCCGCTAGGGGTAGACGCCGCACCGACCGACTCAAGACCAACGAGGTCGGCCGCAGCAGCAGAGGCAACAGAGGGCAAGATAGGAGAGGGGGAGCACCCCTCAAAGACAGGGGCGCGCGGGTCACCACGAGAGGCTCCTACAGCGACTATGCTCTTCTCTGCTGCTAGGAGGCGCTCCTCGAGGAGGTCAACGGTGAGGGTGGTGGGGCAAACAGAGAGAAAGTGGTCCCTGACCGGGCGAAGGGTGTCAGGGAGGCGGGTGACTATGTAGTAGAGGGTGATGTACATAGGGGGGGGGTTCTTGGCGCAGAACTCAGCGGGAAGGGCAGCGCGGTAGCGAATGTCACTAGTGCGGAGGTGCGTAATGAGGTCAGCAACTGTGGGAAAAGCTGCGAGGTCAGGGAAGAGGTACGGCAGGATGAGGCGGCTAAGTGCAGCAGTGGCAGGGGAAGAGTAGCGTGCAACTACAGCGTCGTACAAGGTCTGAGCACTCTTGTACTGGCTAAAGTGCGCACGCTCAGAGGTAGGCAAGTGGCGACGCACAGCAAGACGTGCAGCAGCATCGCGTGTGGCCCACTGTGAGCGAACAGTGGCGTCAGCATCAGCAGCGGGGGCAGGAGAGGCACCAGAAGTGAGGTCAAAGAGGGAGAGACCATCTGCCCTATCGCACTGTAGGAAAAGCTGCAGGTCATCTACCCAGACGTCAAAGTCAATGGCCCAACCCTCAGCGTCAAAAGCGAGGACACTGGGGGTAGCCATGACAGCAGTAGACTAGCAGCACGAGCAGTAGGCTAAGGGCAGCGCAGTAGTAGAGGTGCTGCTCTTACCGGGCAGGCGAGACGGACCTAGTGTAGACCCTGTCCTCTAGAGCTGCCACATGCACGTTGATGGAGTTGTTACAACCACGCCTGCTGCGTGATGGTGGAGAAGAAAGGGAGAAAAAGGGAGCTAAGGGGGAGTATGCTGGGAGGGGCACGTTCTCGGATGCTTCCGCAACCTAGGAGAAATGGCTGATATGACTAAAACATCGACGGATAGAATGGAAGTAGCAATGCCTAAGCTGAAAATCCACATACTCAACCTTGCAACCATGGAGGATAGACATGGCGAGTGTGCGACAGCGCGAGTGCACGACAGCACGAGTGCGCGACAGCGCAAGTGCGCGACATCGCGATTGCGCGACAGTGCGAGTGCGCGACAGCACGAGTGCGCGACAGCGCGAGTGCGCGACATCGCGAGTGCGCGACATCGCGATTGCGCGACAGCGCGACTGCACAACAGCGCGAGTGCGCGAGTGCGCGAGTGCGCGAATGCACGAAAGCGAGAGTGCGCGAATGCGCGACACCGCGAATGCGCGACACCGTAAGTGCGAGACAGCGCGAGTGCGTGACAGCGCGAGAGCGCGAGTGCGCGAGTGCGCGAATGCGCGAGTGCGCGACAGTGAGAGTGCGCGACAGCGTGAGTGCGCAAGTGCGCGAGTGCGCGAGTGCGCAACAGCGCTAGAGCGCGAGAGCGGGAGTGCACGACAGTGCGAGTGCACGACAGTGCGAGTGCGCGCCAGCGCGAGTGCGCGCCAGCGCGAGTGCGCGCCAGCGCGAGTGCGCGCCAGCGCGAGTGCGCGCCAGCGCGAGTGCGCGCCAGCGCGAGTGCGCGCCAGCGCGAGTGCGCGCCAGCGCGAGTGCGCGCCAGCGCGAGTGCGCGCCAGCGCGAGTGCGAGCCAGCGCGAGTGCGCGCCAGCGCGAGTGCGCGCCAGCGCGAGTGCGCGCCAGCGCGAGTGCGCGCCAGCGCGAGTGCGCGCCAGCGCGAGTGCGCGCCAGCGCGAGTGCGCGCCAGCGCGAGTGCGCGCCAGCGCGAGTGCGCGCCAGCGCGAGTGCGCGCCAGCGCGAGTGCGCGCCCGCGCGAGTGCGCGCCCGCGCGAGTGCGCAATAGCGCGACAGCGCGAGTGCGCGAGTGCGCAATAGCGCTGTCGCGCGAGTGCGCGAGTGCGAGACAGCGCGAGTGCAGGACAGCGCAAGTGCGCGAGTGCGCGACAGCGCGAGTGCGCGACAGGGCGAGTGCGCGTCAAGGCGAGTGCACAACTGCGCGTGTGCAAGACAGCGCGAGTGCGAGACAACGCGAGTGCGCGACAGTGCGAGTGCGCGACAGCACGAGTGCGTGACAGCGCGAGTGCGCGACAGCGCGAGTGCGCGACATCGCGATTGCGCGACAGCGCGACTGCACGACAGCGCGACTGCGCGAGTGCGCGAATGCACGACAGCGAGAGTGCACGAATGCGCGACACCGCGAATGCGCGAATGCGCGACACCGCAAGTGCGCGACAGCGCGAGTGCGCGAGTACACGACAGCGCGAGTGCGTGACAGCGCGAGAGCGCGAGTGCGCGAGTGCGCGACAGTGAGAGTGCGCGACAGCGTGAGTGCGCAAGTGCGTGAGTGCGCGAGTGCGCAACAGCGCTAGAGCGCGACAGCGCAAGAGCGCGAGAGTGCGAGTGCGCGCCAGCGCGAGTGCGCGCCAGCGCGAGTGCGCGCCAGCGCGAGTGCGCGTCAGGGCGAGTGCACAATTGCGCGTGTGCAAGACAGCGCGAGTGCGAGACAACGCGAGTGCGCGACAGTGCGAGTGCGCGACAGCACGAGTGCGCGACAGCGCGAGTGCGCGACATCGCGATTGCGCGACAGCGCGTCTGCACGACAGCGCGAGTGCGCGAATGCACGACAGCGAGAGTGCGCGAATGCGCGACACCGCGAATGCGCGACACCGCAAGTGCGCGACAGCGCGAGTGCACGAGTACACGACAGCGCGAGTGCGTGACAGTGCGAGAGCGCGAGTGCGCGAGTGCGCGACAGTGAGATTGCGCGACAGCGTGAGTGCGCAAGTGCGCGAGTGCGCGAGTGCGCAACAGCGCTAGAGCGCGACAGCGCGAGTGCGCGCCAGCGCGAGTGCGCGCCAGCGCGAGTGCGCGCCAGCGCGAGTGCGCGCCAGCGCGAGTGCGCGCCAGCGCGAGTGCGCGCCAGCGCGAGTGCGCGCCAGCGCGAGTGCGCGCCAGCGCGAGTGCGCGCCAGCGCGAGTGCGCGCCAGCGCGAGTGCGCGCCAGCGCGAGTGCGCGCCAGCGCGAGTGCGCGCCAGCGCGAGTGCGCGCCAGCGCGAGTGCGCGCCAGCGCGAGTGCGCGCCAGCGCGAGTGCGCGCCAGCGCGAGTGCGCGCCAGCGCGAGTGCGCGCCAGCGCGAGTGCGCGCCAGCGCGAGTGCGCGCCAGCGCGAGTGCGCGCCAGCGCGAGTGCGCGCCAGCGCGAGTGCGCGCCAGCGCGAGTGCGCGCCAGCGCGAGTGCGCGCCAGCGCGAGTGCGCGCCAGCGCGAGTGCGCGCCAGCGCGAGTGCGCAATAGCGCGACAGCGCGAGTGCGCGAGTGCGAGACAGCGCGAGTGCAGGACAGCGCAAGTGCGCGAGTGCGCGACAGCGCGAGTGCGCGACAGCGCGAGTGCGCGACAGCGCGAGTGCGCGACAGCGCGAGTGCGCGACAGCGCGAGTGCGCGACAGGGCGAGTGCGCGTCAAGGCGAGTGCACAACTGCGCGTGTGCAAGACAGCGCGAGTGCGAGACAACCCGAGTGCGCGACAGTGCGAGTGCGCGAGTGTGCGATAGCGAGATAGTGAGAGTGCGTGACAGCGGGAGTGCGCGACACCGCGAGTGCGCGACAGCGCGAGTGCGCGAGTGCGCAACAGCGAGAGTGCGCAGTGTGCAGTGCGCAGAACCGCGCGCCCTGCCTTGCTGTCTCTGTTGCACGTTGAGCTTCGTCCCTTGCTTGGAACTCACCACTTCCCTTTGTGCCTTGCAGGTGTGGGGGAGGGGCGTGGGGGTCAGCACCGCCATTCTCTCGCACTCCTCCCCAGTGGCCGTGCAGGTGGCAGTGGTGGGAGGAGGGGAGGGGGGCAGCACTCCACTCGGCTGGGATGGGATGGGAGAGTATCGGGATGGGGTCGTCTGGAACATGGTGAGCCTCTTTTTCCTCGTGCACTAATGCTGCTGCTTGTTCTTCTCCCTATGCTCACTCCCCTCCCGTTTTTCTCCCTCCCTTCCTTGTAGATTCTGCCTACTCTTCTCCCCATTCTCACTGCTGTCCCTTGATCCCCTGCCTACCCCTGCCTTGCTCCCTCCCTCCCAGTACATTGAAGGCTGTAGCAGGGCAGCACGGGGGCAGCAGCGGAGGGGAGGGGAGGGGCAGCGGCAGCAGCAGGGGAAGCAGAGTAGCACACCGGGAGTGGCAGTGGCGGCTGACATGGAGTGCACAGGCAGCAGCTGCTCTCCACCCAACCCACCTACAGCTAAGTACCCCGCCCTTCCTCTCTTCTCCCAACCCTCGCACTGTGCTGCTTTGCTTGTCATGCTTGCACCATGCATTACACTCACTTTATCACTGCTCTTTGTCACACTTCAACTTGCTAGGGTATGATCACTGTACTGTTTGTTCTCTTTTATATAACTCTGCATGTGAACTGGCCTTGTGGCCATTTTTTCTTGTGCTCAGAATGTGTGGTGACTTCGTGATCCACCCTGAGCTTGCTTTGCTTTTCTTGACTGGTCTTGTGACCAATTGTTCTCCCCCACTTTGCCTATGGGGGTGTGTCAAAATGTTATAATGCTTATATTGTGTAGGCTGTAGTGGGGTAGCCCATAAGGGGTTTAACTCAATTAGGGTTAGTACTTGTACCAACTTTCTGCTCAATGCATTCATTCTCGTTCAGTATTCTGACAAGTACTTATGACTAATCAAGCACCAGTAATGGATGTTGTGTGTCTCATTTGACAGAATGTGAAAATATGTTGGATGTTATTTGTCTGAGTATGTTTATTTCCTTCTTGAAACGATAACAGCTTATGTACAGCCAGTTTACACCCGTACTGACAATGATTCAAGTGATACCGTAATATTTTCGCTCTTGCACACTCCTGCTCGCCTCGCTCTGTCATTTCGTCTGATAAATCCCTCTGCTTCATCAGTGATCACATTTCGTCAATGATCGACTTTATCAGTGGAATCTCTTCTGTCCAGTGAGTCGTCCCGTCGTTTCCCGTCGTCTTCAGCTTACGCGCAAGCCAGGCGTCATGCTCGGTGCCGTTAAGTAGTCGCGAGCTCGGCGTCGCGTCGGAATCGAGGCAGCCATGGCGGCGCGGCTCGCCGCTTCAACGGCCGTCGCAGCGTCGTGTCGTCAAATTCTGCTCTCCAACGTTGTAGCGTCCTCCCATCCCGCCATCGCAGCGTGCGGGATTGCGTCGTTTCGCCACGCTCTGGTTACCAATGCCTTCGCCGTGCGACCGCCGCTAGTCACATGCGCGCTGCTCCATCGCGCCTCCCCTGCTGTCGATACGTCTCATGGAAGCTCAAATCCGATCCGTTCGACCAGCAGGCGCGGCGATTCCCGTTTTTCCGCCTGTAGCGGCGAACGCGCGCTCCCCTCCGCACGCGTGTTCCCCGTCGCTCTAGTCTCCGTTTCCCTGCGGCCATCCCTTCTCCTAGACTCGCCTGTCAGGAAATTGACCATTCCTTTGGCCGTCGATGCCGCTCTCGGCATTCCCCAGGCCGTCGTCGCGCTCCCCCACTTCTCCGCGTCTTCCGCTTCTTCCGCCTTCCGCCGATCGCTTGCTTCCGCTTCCCCTTCGTTACCTCCTACACTCTGCACATCAGCACACCTCGCCAATTCGCCCGTCCTCCAGTTTTCTCCGTTACCACTTTTGAACCACCAACGGCCTCGCTTCTCGTCTTCCTCTCCCTACCCCCACTCTTCCGCCTTCTCCCCCTCCTCCCTTTCCTCCGCTTCCTCCCTCTCCTCCTGGCCCGCCACTCCCGTCGCGCTTTCCCCCTCCTCCCCTTCCGCGCATTCATTCTCCACGTCGTCCGCCTTCCCCCCGCCGTCGCCGCACCCGCGCGGAGCGCTCACGAGTAAATGGGCGGCGGACAGGAAGCGGAAGAAGGAAGCTTCGAAGAAGGTGCGGCAGGCGATTAACGCACTGAGGGAGCGGCAGTGGCAGGCGGAGAGAAGACGAGCGGAGCAGGAGGGGGTATGGCAGGGGCAGGGGGAAGTGCAGGGGCAGGGAGTGGGGACGGGGGACAGTGGCACCAAAAGCAGCCGCGGCAGCGGCAGCGGCAGCGGTAGCGGCAGCGGCAGCGGCAGCAGCAGCAGTGATATGCGAGGGATGGTGGGTGAATGGATGGCTCGCCTTCAACAGTTGCAACAGACCTCCACTTCCTCCTCCCCCTCCTCGCCCCTGTCCTCGTCACCAGCAGCACCACCCCCACCACCACCACCGCCCTCAGCAGCAGCGGGCAGTGGTGTGGGGTCGACAATAGGGGGCGTGGAGCCGCTAGTGGGACCGCTTAGGCCACAGAGCAGCGATGAGGTGAGGGGCGTGTGACTGTATGGCGTGACTTTGTATGGCCCGTTCTGACCTTCTAGTCCCTGCTCTGCTCTCCCTTCCCCTCCCTGCCTGCTCTTCCTCCCCTACACCTATCGCTGCTGCTGCCAGCCAGACGTCCCTGTCTTCGTTGCCACAGCGCTTTCATATTCTCAGTAGTGCCAATTCTTCGCATGCTTTTCCTCATGCTCTGCTCTGCCCTATCCTTTCCCCCTCTCTGCTCTCCTGTTTCGCCGTTCCCCTGGTCGCCCCTCCCCCTGTCCCCCACGCCCGCCAGGCATCACTGGCGTCCCTGCTGGCGCGATCAGACCTGGTGGTCACTCGCAGGGTGGAGTGGGGCAACGTGCTGCTGGGGTACGAGCAGGTGCAGTGCGGTGCCCATGGGTCCACTGGTGCTGGCATGGAGTGAAACGTTGTCGTGCGTTGTTTGCCCGCCTCTGGTTCCAACCCTCCCATCTGCATTCCTCGCCCTCCTTCCTCTCATTCTCCCTCGCCCCTGCTCTGCTCCTCACTCGCATGTGCCCCAGTTTCCAACTCGCCCTTTTCCTCCCATGTGTCCATGCACGCCCCGCCGTTACCAACAGAGCAACCAATATGCTGTCATGGACGCACACACAGGCGAGGTCAGTCCCAACTCACACACCCCTGCAACCCCCTGTGCTCCCTCATTGCTCCAATCGTGCCCACGTTGTTAGCACCATCCTCCCCTTCCCCCCCCCCTGCCCATGTGCACCCCGATTTCCACCTCTTGAGTTCCATCGTTCCCAACCCGATCGGCACCCTGCGTGTCAGCAACACCTCACCGCTCGTGTCTTTTCCTCTGTATTTCTCCGTGGCAACCCCCCACCATGGCCCCCCACCGTGCCCCACCATGCGTCATTCTGCCTCCGTGCAGCACGTGGGGTCCATTGTGGAGAGCAGCAACTGGCTCATGCGCCAGGTGTGAAGGGATGGGGGCAAGGGGATGGGTGCAAGGGGATGGGTGCAAGGGGATGGGGGCAAGGGGATGGGTGCACGGTGGGGTTTATTGTGGGGTTTATTGTGCCTCATGCTGCCACGCTGCAGCCTGCAGCACGTGGGGTCCATTGCGCCTGCCTCTCCCTCCCCCTCTTCACATCCAAATTCTTCACTCCTGGAATCGTGAGTTGCCGCTGCACTGCCCGCTCATACGCTGCACCGCCCGCTCATACGCTGCACCGCCCGCTCATACGCTGCCCCGCCCGCTCATACGCTGCCCCGCCCGCCCATACGCTGCACCGCCCGCTCATACGCTGCACCGCCTGTCATACGCTGCCCCGCCCGCTCATACGCTACACCGCCCGCCCATACGCTGCACCACCCGCCCATACGCTGCACCGCCCGCTCATACGCTGCACTGCCCGCTCATACGCTGCCCCGCCCGCTCATACGCTGCACCGCCCGCTCATACGCTGCACCGCCCACTCATATGCTGCACCGCCTGTCATACGCTGCCCCGCCCGCTCATACGCTACACCGCCCGCCCATACGCTGCACCACCCGCCCATACGCTGCACCGCCCGCTCATACGCTGCACCGCCCACTCATATGCTGCACCGCCTGTCATACGCTGCCCCGCCCGCTCATACGCTACACCGCCCGCCCATACGCTGCACCGCCCGCTCATACGCTGCACCGCCCGCTCATACGCTGCACCGCCCACTCATATGCTGCACCGCCTGTCATACGCTGCCCCGCCCGCTCATACGCTGCACCGCCCGCCCATACGCTGCACCGCCCGCTCATACGCTGCACCGCCCGCTCATACGCTACACCGCCCGCCCATACGCTGCACCGCCCGCTCATACGCTGCACCGCCCGCTCATACGCTGCACCGCCCGCTCATACGCTGCACCCCCCGCTCATACGCTGCACCCCCGCTCATACGCTGCACCGCCCGCTCATACGCTGCACCGCCCGCTCATACGCTGCACCGCCCGCTCATACGCTGCACCGCCCGCTCATACGCTGCACCGCCCGCTCATACGCTGCACCCCCGCTCATACGCTGCACCCCCGCCCATACGCTGCACCGCCCGCTCATACGCTGCACCGCCCGCTCATACGCTGCACCGCCCACTCATATGCTGCACCGCCTGTCATACGCTGCCCCGCCCGCTCATACGCTACACCGCCCGCCCATACGCTGCACCGCCCGCTCATACGCTGCACCGCCCGCTCATACGCTACACCGCCCGCCCATACGCTGCACCGCCCGCTCATACGCTGCACCGCCCGCTCATACGCTGCACCGCCCGCTCATACGCTGCACCGCCCGCTCATACGCTGCACCGCCCGCTCATACGCTGCACCGCCCGCTCATACGCTACACCGCCCGCCCATACGCTGCACCGCCCGCTCATACGCTGCACCGCCCGCTCATACGCTGCACCGCCCGCTCATACACTGCACCGCCCGCTCATACGCTGCACCGCCCGCTCATACACTGCACCGTACGATGCCTTGGGTTGCACTCTGTTCATTGCCTGCTTTGTGCCCGTATCTCTCTCCACCTCTTCACATCCACAACATTTGCTGCTGGATTCACAAGTCCCCCCCCCTCCTCGGCTCATCTCCTTCCTGTCCCCCACCATCCTCCTCCCACTGTCAGTTCCTGAGGGCGCATCGCCCCTTCACCGCATCCATCCACGATGCACACGGCACGCTCCTGCTCACTGTGGGTATCACACTCATTCCTGCTCACCGTGGGTATCACACTCATTCCCAAGCCCGCTCAAACTCGGTTCATGGTGCCAATCTCGTCATTTCATCCACTCGAAGATGGCTTACAAAAAGAAGCTTCTTGGGGCAGGGCGCTTGTTGTTTTGCTTGTGATACTTGCTGTCTCCTGCCCCTTGTCCCATCACCCTATCCCCCCTGCGCCGGGCCCCCATGCACCCTTCTTCCCCATGCGCCCTTCTTCCCCATGCGCCCCTGTTCCCCATGCGCCCCTTTCCATGCGCCCCTTTCCATGCGCCCCTCTCCATGCGCCCCTCCCTATGCGCCCCTCCCCATGCGCCCCTCCCCATGCGCCCCTCCCCATGCGCCCCTCTCCATGCGCCCCTCCCCATGCGCCCCTCTCCATGCGCCCTCCCCTATGTGCTGTTTCAGGTGCGGCGGCCCATGTTTCTCATCACCAGCACCATCTACGTTGATCTGGCTGGTCAGGTGAGATTTCAGGTGCATTCAGGTTAAAGCTCAGAAAACTTTATCTCTGCCATGCCACGTGTGTCCCTACCATGTCATGTGTGTCACTGGCTTCACATGTGTCAACCTGTGAAGCCAACCTTGGCTTACGTGCTCTTTCTTGGTATCCCCATCTGGTGTGCATGTGTGCATGTGTGCATGTGTGCATGTGTGCATGTGTGCATGTGTGCATGCGTGCATGTGTGCATGTGTGCATGTGTGCATGTGTGCATGTGTGCATGTGTGCATGTGTGCGTGTGTGCGTGTGTGCGTGTGTGCATGTGTGCATGTGTGCATGTGTGCGTGTGTGCGTGTGTGCGTGTGTGCGTGTGTGCGTGTGTGAATGTGTGCATGTGTGCATGTGTGCATGTGTGCATGTGTGCATGTGTGCATGTGTGCATGTGTGCATGTGTGCATGTGTGCATGTGTGCATGTGTGCATGTGTGCATGTGTGTGCGTGTGTGCGTGTGTGCATGTGTGCGTGTGTGCATGTGTGCATGTGTGCGTGTGTGCATGTGTGCATGTGTGCATGTGTGCATGTGTGCGTGTGCTTGCATGTCTTTGTGTGTGTGGATGTGTCCACGTGTACCTGTGTGTGCATGCCAACTCATGCACGTATGTATGTAACACGTACATGCATCGCCCCCTCACCATGCCAGAAGGGCATAGGGCAGGTGCACAGGAGGTGGCACCTGTGGAAGCGAGTCTACGATGCGTACCTGCAGTAAGTGCTGCTTGCTTCCTCTCCTCCTATTTCTGACAAGCGTCTTGCGTTGAGTGCGCCCTTTGGTCCCATTGGGATAATCGAATCCCATTGGGATAATCGAATCCCAGTGGGATAATTGAATCCCATTGGGATAATCGAATCACTGCACCCATCTCCACACATTGCTTCTTCGCTGCACTTTCTGATTCATCACAGTGCAGTTCCAGCTTGGGAACTGGAGCTGCAGCTCCCATTTGGGAACGGGAGCAGCAGTTTCACCGTGACTGGAGCTGCAGTCTCACCGTCACTGGAGCTGCATTCTCACCGTGACTGGAGCTGCAGTTTCGCCGTGACTGGAGCTGCAGTTTCATTATGATGCGCCCGGATTGCTTCTATTGCACAGATCCTACTCTTATCCCTCCCTTTGAGCCGGTCGCTTTAACTCCTTCCCTCCGCCACTCCGCTCGTCGTTTCATGCAGCAAGCAGCAGTTTGCGAGGGTGGTTAACCCTGGCTTTTGGTGGTGGTCCTTCGCGCTGTGCGACGCCGAGGGGCAGAGGCTAGCAGAGGTCACCCGCAATTGGCGGGGGCTGGGCTTTGAGGTGCGCTGGGAAGGGGTGTTGGAGGAGGCAGAGGAGGGGATGCAGGGGGGAGTGGGGGAGGAGGAGAGAAAGGGGGGGTTGGGAGAGGGTGGAGGATGACCGTAGAGCGGAGGGGCATGAGGGCTTGGGGTGGAGGAGGGGTATGGTATTGTGGGTGATGGGTGATGCTGTGATACCAATGCAGCACGGGATTGTGTGCTTGTGGTGCGCATGAGTACTGTCTTCCCACTCCTTCCCCTTTGTGAATACCCATGCTGCAGTGCGTGCCTCCGCGTGCCTGGATGTTGTGCCGGCAGGTGTTCACAGGTGCAGGCAAGCAGGTGGTCAGAGGTGCAGGCAAGCAGGTGGTCAGAGGTGCAGGCAAGCAGGTGGTCAGAGGTGCAGGCCAGTGCGTGGTGCGATTCGGATCCGTGCCTTTGAGTCGACTCAAAAGTCACCTCAGTGCGTGCTTCCGCATTTCTGTGGTGGTGTGATGGCAGGTGTTCACAGATGCGGGGCAGTACGTGGTGCGATTCGGCTCCGTGCGGCACTGGCAGCAGCAGCAGCGGGACAAGCGGGAGCAGCAGGAGCGGGAGGGCAGGGAGGGTGAGGAGGAGAAGGCGCAGCAGTATCATCAGCCATGGTTCTCAACAGAAGCCGACGAGGTGAGATGAACATCAGAAGCACAATGGCACTGCAAGTGGCAGTCCCTGCATGTACTGAGTTCAGGCTCTCCCATCCAACCCTCTGGAGTTATTTTCTCCCACCACTGCACTGCCTGCCCTCCCACCCCACCCCTATGTCTGCAGGGTCCCATGCTCTCGGTGGCGCGCCCACTCTCTCTGCTGGAGCGAGCAGTGTGTCTGGCACTGGCTGTCTCACTTGACAACGACTACTTCTCTCGCCACAGGTCAGTGGTCAGCATGGTCAGTGCCCCACACGCCACAGGTCCCCTGCTCTCTGTAGCGCGCCCTCTCTCAATGCTGGATTGGAGCGAGCAGTGTGTCTGGCGCTGGCCGTCTCACTCGACAACGACTACTTTTCTCGCCACAGGTCAGTGCAGCACATGCCACAGGTCAGTGGGCGGCACACGCCACAGGTCAGTGGGCGGCACACGCCACAGGTCAGTGGGCGGCACACGCCACAAGTCAGTGGGCGGCACACACCACAGGTCAGTGGGCGGCACACGCCACAAGTCAGTGGGCGTTTTGAGACGTCTCAAAGCACGCCCCTTCTCACTTTTGGATTGGAGCAATCAGTTTCCCTCGACAACGACTACTTCTCTCGCCACAGGTCAGTGGGCTTCACATGCCAGCACATGCCACAGGTTGGTGCCACAGGTCAGTGGGCTGAACAATCTGTGCACTGTTTGGTATGGTCGGCGCGGTTGTGTGTCGTCAGCTTGTTCTGTGCAACGCGTTACAGCCGTGCCTATCGTAGCCACCTGGTCACTGCGTGTGCTACCAAACAGCAGAGTATTCCAATTCTTCAGCACATCCGTTTCGTCTGTGCTTGCAGCCATTCAGGGGGGATGTTTTCCTTCTTACCTTTCATCGGCGGCGAGGACTAGACTCAGAATAGGAGCCGATAAACCAGAAGAATGGTTGATAGGTGTTTCGGTTGTGGAGGGCAGAAGTTGAAGGGAGGAGGAGCATGGATGTTTATAAAGTGTACAGAAAGAGCTTGCCTCAATCTCCTATCTTATGCTGAGCTGCTTGGGAAACCTATTAAGATGAGCATACCATACACCCGAACAGGTGGAAAAATACCTGCACTGACAAGCCCTAACATTGGAAAATTACCTCAACTCTCAATATTTCGCAATTCCTCCTGGTTTACTGGTTAGCGACGGAACCCGCAACATTGGAATGGACTTGTGGGGAAATCTAGGCACAGTAATATCCAGCCAGACTGTTTCGAATACACCGCCACTGCTGGCTTTCACGGTATTACCGTTCACGTTCTGACACACACAACCGTCAACAATCGGCCCTGCTGCTTTAGATGGGGCACCTTCCCCAGTACCCTCCCTCCCACCAAGTCTTTTCAGGGCAGGCACCTTCTGCCAACGTGGGCACTGGGCAACCAAAAACCGACCGTAGCCGCGCAAAAGGTATTGGTGCTCGCAGATACCTAGGCTGCTCACGACTCATCTCAGCCGTCCAGTCACCCAATCATTCAGATTGGCTACTAGTTCGCATAATAGACTTACCACCTGAACTGCAGAACGGTCTTTATTAGAAACTAATCCCTGTCGCAGCGTCGCACGGTATCGTGAGTTAAAATGGCCAGGGACAGCCGACTCGCCGCGCGTCGCTGCTCGCTGTCTCTTGCGCGTCCCGTGCCGTCCGACCCGCGCCGCTAGGGTGTATACGCCGCTATTTCCGTACTCAATTGAAGTAACCTAAATTTGCAGTCGGTTCTGTATCGGAGGAGGGCAGCAGCGGCCGCATTCCGAGTCGCTCACGCAGTCTGTCACCAACTCTCTGAAGACGCTTTGTTGACCTTCGGTATATTCACAATCCATTACAGGCTGCACACGTGATGAAGCCAGAGCGGTGACCACGTGTTCCTCTATCGCCGTTTACCTTAGTCAAATGACACCGCCCAGCTGCTCTTGACGCGAGCGCTAGTTCTTGTCTGTGTTATTTGTCACCCCATTACCGGGCACTGTAGCAGTGGACAGCGCAGCAGCGGGCATCGCAGAAAGCGGGCATCGCAGAAAGCGGGCATCGCAGAAAGCGGGCATCTCAGAAAGCGGACAGCGCAGGAAGCGGGCATCGCAGAAAGCGGACTGCGCAGAAAGTGGACAGCGCAGAAAGCGGACAGCGCAGCAGCGGGGAGCGCAGAAAGCGGCGGCAAGATGTCGGTGAGCACGTCCGCGTTGTACGCGATCATGTTCCTCTGCGCCGCCTTCGTCTTCTCCTTCCTCTTCCGCGTCCTCCGCGCGCTGCTGCTGCACGCCGCGCTGCTCTCCCCGCTCCCGCGCCGATCCGACGACCCAGATTCCACCTTCCACGTCCGCACAGTTCTCGTCATTGACGGGGTTCCGGAGGGCCCGCAAGAGAGCTCGGGGGAAGGGGGCGAAGCGGGGCGCGCGGGAGTGGGGACAAGGGGGAAAGGGTTGCGGGCGGAAGAGATTGCTCAGCACAGCGATTTGATTCGGTACAGTGAGGTGAAGGAGGAGCGGAGAGTAGAAGGGAGGGAGTTGGTAGTGGTTGAGATAGGCGAGAGGGAGGGGCGCGAGCAGGGGTGGGAGAGTGAGAAGGCGCGCGCGGGGAAGGAGGGTGGTGCTGAGGCAGCGTGTGAGGGGCAGGGGCAGCGAGGGGCGGATAGAGAAGGGGAGACAGCAAGAGCAGCGGCGGCAGTAAACGGTCAGGGCAGTGAAAAGGCTGAGCGGCGACGGGACGTGGATGGACCGAGCGAGCGCCTTGTGAAGGCGCAGCAGATGAAGCAGGAGACGGAGGAGAAGGGGGCGGAAGCAGCAGGTGCAGCAGAAGCAGGAGAAGGGGGAGCAGGGGGCGGAAGAGCAGGGGGCGGAGAGGACGGAGAGGGAGGAGTGGAGGGGGTGTGGGGGGCATTGGCGGTGGAGTGCTCTGTGTGCTTGACGGAGTTCAGGGAGGAGGAGCGAGTGAGACGACTGCACTGCTGCACCCACATGTTCCACCAGGTGAGCATTGAGGTGCCTCTCACCTCAAGTCATTGGCGGTGGAGTGCTCGGTGTGCTTGACGGAGTTGAGAGGGGAGGAGCGAGTGAGACGACTGCACTGCTGCACCCACATGTTCCACCAGGTGCCGCCCTGCTGCTCTCCACATGACTGCTGCTCTCTTTCGCACGCTCCGGTTGTTGCACACTCTCTCTTGATCTTCTTTACTTTCGTGCTCTCCCTCCCTCCCTCCCTCGCTGCCTGGCCGGCTGTCTCCATTCACTGCGCTTGTTTTCATCCGATGTGGTATTATGCACTGCCCACCTCTCCACATTCTCTCACCTCTCACCACATGCTCTCACCCCTCTCCACATGCTCTCACCTCGCTGTGTCCTTTATCCAGGAGTGCATAGACGGCTGGCTTCAAGCCCACACCTCGTGCCCACTATGTCGCGCGTCGGTGGTGCCATCAAAGCACCACCACCAGTGCACATTGCACCAAGTGTAGATACAGATGTAGATGCGTGAAGATCGTTAGATGCTAGGAAGAAAAAAGTGTGTCTAGAATTAGAGCATGAGAGGACATTGTTTCCTCTTGACATAATGGGTTACTGTTCTAAATTTTAACAATGTGAGATGTGAAGCTGTAACTTTTGGCTAGTGTCGATACAAGAGAGTCTCTGAATTATATCGAAGCCTGTCAAGTGTTGCTCTGCTCTTGCTCGGCATCTTGGCGGAATCTCCATTTCGCGCCGCTATTATTACAAACACGTGGTCTTCTATGACTCGTCGGGGATGTCCAGCAGGATATCCCTTCAGTTCCGACCGACCCGACAGGGTAGAGAAAATATGAGCCGCAGTGGCATTCCCCTCTCGTCCTTCCGTTCCTGCTCATTTCCACTCAGTCTTCAAGTGTTAGGGCGTGGAACATGGATAGCTATTTGCGAAATAAGCGCAACGCAGGTTGTCGTTCCATTCACCACGGGTGCATTAGGTTTCGACGACCGTGGTTACCAGCTTGGAGGCTTCTCGCGCACCAGGCCGCCCTTGTCTCTTTCCCCCCAACTCCATTTTCCTAATCTCACCTCAACCCTCCCATCGCTCTCATAGCTCTGATCGCTCTCGCACGGCAGGGGTCCCGCTGCCGCACGCATGATTCGCTGTGTCGCTTATTTTCCTCGCCGCGCCTAAACCTTCGTAGCAAGCAAAGCTCTTATTTATCGCGTTCCCGTGATGCCCGTTGCCCCTTGGCATAGACCGGCGCATTCCTGAGACGCCTCGAAAGCCACCCTTTTGATGCACTTATAAGCCATTTCCCGTGGCCATGGACCTCGGGATTCTCCTCGCGTTTGTCGTGCTCTTCGCGTCCATGCTTCTCGTCTGCGCCTACCGCCTGTTCCGCGTAGTCTGGGCCGAGGAGCAGGCGGATCGAGCGCGGGAACGCGAGCGCGCATTGCGCGAGAGAGCTGCGCGCAGTCGCCTGGCGGAGGCGCTGGATCCGAAGCTGCTGGGGGCGTTCAGCGACCTCGTCACGTACGCAGATGCGATGTTAGAGCGAGACGCGGATGCGAAGGTAGAGCGAGACGCGGATGTGAAGCTAGAGCGCGACGCGGCTGCGCGTGGAAGCGCGCCGAGCTCTCCCTCCGCTGCCAAGGGCTTGGTGACGCTGGCAGATGTGACTGTAGGGGGGGCGAAGCTACCAAGGGACGACGAGTCATGCGTGGGCGACGATGGTTGTTCACAAGAGGATGGGGCGATTGTTGTGGTGGATATTCGAGGGGAGGACAGTGGAGCAGGCAGTGAGTGCCGAAGCAGGAAGGCTGAATGTCAACCAGGATGTGAATTAACATCAGCAGAACCGAATCGTACATCACCAGGCGAAGGTGAAGTTGAGGGTGGGAAGGCGGAAGCCATTGAGCGGACGCCAGCTCCTCCAGCCACGTCGGACGGCATGGCTGCAAGTTGTGATCAAAAGAACTGGGGGACTGAGGATGGGTCGAGTGCGGTGCAAGGAGAGGAAGCCGCAGCTGCTGAAGGCACAGAGTCACAGGAGGAGTCAAGGCTTTGTGCTGACAGCAGGGTCTTGCCATCCTCAGATGCTCTTTCTAAATGCTCCTCTCCAGCGATTGCTGAGAGGCAGGGGCCGAAACCAGCTGTGATGCTTGCAGGACAAACTGAATTTGCAGCAGTGGCTGGTAGTGGCGGCACGGGTAGTGCAAGTGAGGTGGCGATTCCTTTGATTCCCGTGACGGCAGCTGAGTGCTCCGTGTGCCTGGTGGAGTTTGAAGACGATAACATGCTGCGATGCATGCACTGCTGCAGACACCTGTTTCACCAGGTGAGCATGGTGGGAGGGGAGTGCAAGGATCACGCTTATGTCAGCATTTCCTAACCGCAGGCTTGATTTTCTGGCTTCAAGGAAGGTGCCACTGCCAAAGCTGATGTTTGTGTTCTCATGTGTGCAGGATTGCTTGGAGAAATGGCTCGAGTACAGCCTGAGTTGTCCCGTCTGTCGTGTAAAGGTGAAACAACTACTAGTAACATCATAATTCCAGATTTAGTGTACATGCAACATCTTTAGAGGCAAAATCATCTACAGCAGATACTTCTGCTGTACCTTCACCGGTTTACTGGGCAGGTGTAGCGTTGTGCAACTAGTAACTACAGTCTCTGGGCAGTGAGCCGTAAGTTAGCGGGGCATAAACTCGTGAGTCCACAGTATCTAGTATCTACATTAGCGAAACATTGCTTTATGATATACTGCTAGCTGGAAGGTAGTTGTCCATATAAACGAAAGCAGTAATTAGCATTGCATATACTTGCGCAAGATACAAGAACAACACTTATTTTCGCCCAATACGGACGAAGGGGGTTGTGTATCACAAAGACAGAGCCCCCACAGGATCTCTGTCCATCTTTGTCTGCTCCTCAAACCCACCTCCAGTGAAGTCGCTTTCCCCAGCAGTCAATCAAACCATGCACAATGAAGGATAAATACTAGGAACGTGAGATGATCGACGAAGGCCGTCGTGATGCGAATGGATGTCAGCCGATGCCAGTTGTCGCCTCTGTGTCTCTGCCTCAAATCGCTGGTCCGAAATTGATGCCTACGGCGAAGGAGTGACACCGGGAATGTAGCCGCTGGTGCCGCCGTAATCGCAGACGCCGAGAGTGCAGGTGCCTGGGCAGCGTTGGTAGCAGCCGCCGCAGTGCTCGAGGCTCGAGTCGAGGTTGGTGCACTTGCCGTCGCAGCACGACGTCGAAATGTCGCAGAACGATCCGCACGCGCCGCAGTTATTCAGGTCGTTTTTCGTATCCACGCACACGCTGCCACGACGCGGATATAAATGGTTCACAGAAGAAAGGATTATGCCAGCGGGAAGATCATGGGATGAAACATCGCAAACGGATCGAGGAAAAAGAGCGACGAGATATGGAAAGAGTCGCAATGGACAAAACACAGAGAGTGCAAAAGAAGGGGCTTCTGCAGGGAGAGAATCCTTCACGAGTTTAAGTGGATCATTGGCAGGGAGGTGATGAGGAGCGCTTACGATCCGCAAGCGGTAAGGTTCATGGAGCTACAGGTAACAAGCACTTGCAGCTTTCTCCACTTGACGCGATGCCCGCCGCTGCCGCTCCCCGCATTACCACCATGCCGTAGCCGGCCGGAGCGAACAGAGTATTTCTGCACCCACCCGAGACACGATCAAGACAAGCAGAACATCGCTCAGTTCAGAGACGAGCGCAGAAAGGCTAAGATAGCCGAATGAGGGGGAATAAGGGAGCTGAAGTTGCGCTCGAAAGACCCAGGCAAACAGAGCTGTGCGATTCAACCGCTTGGAAAAATCATCCAATGGCTTGATCTGACAGTGTCGTGCATGAGAATGCGTACATTCCGCAACATGCGGGTCTAGCATACTGCGAAAGAAAGGAGGAGAGCGGCAGGATTACGTTTCCCGACCAAACTCAGAGGGAGGCACCTCAAAGTCGCTGGTGGAAGGCATGCCGGCAGCAGGCAGAACATTCGCTACCACGAAGAGAACGACCGTCGCAATAAAAAACACGTTGAGATTCATCCTGATCTGCTGACTAGACATTCTATCGCCACTCGAGTCAGAAAAGATAGTTGTCGTGGTAGTGAGTCGGAAGCCAGGGAGTTTATTCAGGAAGTTAGCTTCTAGAATTTCTTAATATCTCAGATACCACCTCGGATGGTGAGAAATGAATGGACCGGAGGTCTAAAATTGTCGAAGAAACGAGCAGCACAGCGAGCGCGCGTTGGGAGCAGCCTAGTGGAAAGGTAGGAATATGAACAGAGCTACTAGTAGGAGATGCTAAGGTCGCATGTGGGAGCTCCAAGTCGAATGCTAGCAACAGCCATGCCAACACTCGAAACTGCGGGCCGCATTCGCAAATGCCTTGCTGCTCAACATTCACAGGTTGGAAGCGCTCCAGTCGCCGCGCGCGTGCCTGTGGGTTCCACTCGAGCGCCCCATTCGATCAGTGTGGCCATTTCGCTGGCGCCATGCGGCCTCTACACTACGCGACTCCGAGTGTGAGGGAGGGACTTCATGGGGGCCTGAGGCACGTGGCGATTAGTTACCGGTACGGCGGTAGAAATCTCCCGTTTCAGCGATGCAATGCGAGATTTCGCCAGAAAGTAATGGTTGGAAAATGTAACAAGGCTTTCACACTTCTTTTGATCAAGTAGGACATACGATTTACATATGACAGAACAGAAACTTCTGCATTGAAAGATGGACCCTTGTATCCTAACTTATATTTTTAATAGTTTTATACGATTTAGAAAATTGGAATAATCCTCTCATACCAATCTTGGACTAGTTTCACCAATACCAGTAACATTATAGATACTGAGCAAAAGCATTCCTAATAGAACATGACTAAAACGGGATTGGCGCGTGCCTAGTTTAGCGGTAGGTGAGGGTCATTCACCCTCCATACACCAAGGCAGGACGTGGCACCTCTAGCAATTTTATCTTAGTGCGACCTACTCGTTAGAGGCAGTTCAGGATGAAATTCACGCTTCGCATCGTCCCAATGTCGAACACGCCTTGCCATACCCTACTAGCGAAGCACTTCCACGTCACGTCCTTGGCATCATAACGATGCCAGCCCACTATTCCACATGACAGTCGCAGCAATGCCGGGTCGCTTCGTCCCATCTCCTGCGCTTCCCCCAGCCTCCCCTGGTACGAGATTTTCCTACGCTTCTCCGAGAAACTTCCCCTCCGACGAGCCTGGCTCGGCGCGCAATGGGCGAGAACACCTCTCCCTCACAGACAGCTCGCTTCTTGACGCACTTGGAGGCGCTCAACGAACCTCCAGCGGCCACGTGTCATCGGATAAGACAAATGGGGCTGCGGAATCGTCGCCGCCTCTCGAGAAGTCGAGGGGAAGCGCGGAGGCGGAAGGCGGAACAGCCAAGAAGGAACAGATGGCGGAGGAGGCGGAAAAGGAGGCGGAGAATGGGGAGGATAGGGGGGAGGATGGTGGGGAGGAGCAGAGCAGTGGTGAGCGCAAGGTGCCAGGCGAAGGGCAGAAGGAGGGGGGGGTATCGGGGAAGACGGGGGAAGGGGGGAGTGGTGGCGGGAAAGGGGGGAGCGGGGAGGGCGAGTGGTGCGAGGCGCTGGGCGGGGAGGTTTGTCTGGTGGCGTGCCGGCGACCGCAGCTGCTGGCGCGCAGTGAGAGGGGGCGGGGCGGCGTGTGCGTGAACATCGATGATGAGCTGGTGTGTGGGGCATGGGGCATGGCGGGTGGGTGGTGCCTTCCGTGTGCCACGTGGGGCATGCCCTGTGGGGCGTGGTTGGTGGGTGGATGGGGGGAGGGTGCTGGCTGGTGGCTGACGGGTGCATTAGCGGCAGTGGAATCGAGTGGTGCTGATGGTGAGGTGGAGGGCACCGCTGGTGAGAGGTATGCTGTATCCTGGCAACTGTCCGGGGTAAGCTTCCGCGGAAATGGACGGCCTTCCCCTCCCCCGGCCCATCCCATCCCGCCTCCCATCCCCCGCCCCTCCCCTACCACCTCATCACGCCCCCCTTCTCTCCCCCACACCAACGCCCAACTCCACCCCTCCTCGCCCCCCCACCAGGTGTACGAGCCATACTGCATGGACTTTGGGCCGCTCAGCGTGGCGTGCATCCACCGCTACTGTGACACCATGGACCAAGCCCTGCAGGTGGGCGCTCTGTGCTGCGTGCTGTCATTGATAGGTGCCCTACACCTGGGTGCCCTGCAGCTGGGTGGCGCGTGCTGTCACTCATTGCGTGCCATGCCACGCCTCGTCATCAAACCCCTTGCCATCCCATGCCATCCCATGCCATCCCATGCCAACCATGCCCTTCGACCATGTGTGCTGGCGTTCACCATGCAGGAGGGGCGGGGCCTATCACGGAGGGTGGTGCATGTGTGCAGCAGCGCGCCCCACAAGAAGGCCAACGCCGCCCTGCTTGTCAGTGCCCCCTCCTCCCTCTGCTCCCCTTTTCCCCTCTGCTCCTCCCAGCGCTCCCCCTTCCCCCCTGCTTCTCACCACCTGTGCACTGCATTTTCCCCATTGCACCGCAATCGACCGCCAGTACTCTGTGTCTGTGCTCTGCTGTGCCTGCATTCCACTGGCCTTGCCCCGTACTTCACCTGTACCCCCATGCTTTCCGTACCCTTTCTTACCACCCTCTACCCCCCCTTCTTTCCCCCACCCCGTCCCTTCCCCTCCATTCCCTCTCACCTCCGCCTCTCCCCCTACCCGCCTCTCCCCCTACCCGCCTCTCCCCCAACCCGCCTCTCCCCCAACCCGCCTCTCCCCAGCTAGCAGCGTATCTCATTCTGCGCCATGCCATGCCGGCCCATGCCGCCCACGCGCTGCTGCGCCCCTTGGAGCCGCTGCCGCCCTTCAGGGACGCGTCCAACGGCGCGTGCACCTTCCACGTCACCGCACTCGACTGCTGCCAGGTGCGTGTGGGAGGGGCAAGGAGTGTCGGGGGCGAGGTGACATTTGAGACGTCTCAAAAGTCGCGTCTAACGGCGTGTGCACCTTCCATGTCACCGCACTCGACTGCTGCCAGGTGGGGGTGGGACAAGCCTTACAGCCGCCTCAAGTCTCATGCCATGCCATCACTCAAGGGTGCTTAAGTCGTGACCCCAAGGCTACCATACACCACCAGACTGAAGAGCGATGCACCCACCCTCACTTCCTCCCAATCTCACCTGCTACTCCCATTCCGCTGCTCCTCTTCCTCCATCCCTCATGCCCCCATCCCCCATCCCTCATGCTGCAGGTGCTAGAGCAGGCACAGAAAGCGGGCCTGATGGCATGGCAGGGTTCCGAGTGGGCGAGTACGAGCGGATGGAGCAAGCCGACCTCACGTGGATGCTGCCCCCCCTCCCCCTCCGCCCGTCCCCCATCCCCCATCCGTCCCCCATCCCCCATTCTCCCCCCCGGCCATGCCAGGCGCTAGAGCGCGCGCAGGGAGGGGGGCTGATAACAGGGTTCAGGGTGGGCGAGTTAGTGGCTGGAGCAAGGCGACCTCATGTGGATGCTGCCCCATGCCCCATCCCGCATCTGCCTTTTCCCCATCCGCCCATCCCCCACCCCCGCCCATGCTGCAGGCGCTAGAGCGGGCACAGGAACGGGGCCTTATTGCGGGGTTCAGGGTGGGCGAGTACGAGCGGCTGGAGCAGGCCGACCTCACGTGGATGCTGCCAGGGCGACTGCTCGCCTTCAGCACGCCTGCTGACGACCCCGCCAGTGCCATGGTGCGCGTGGTGTGGTGTGGTGTGGTGTGGTGTGGTGTGGTGTGGTGTGGTGTGGTGTGGTGTGGTTGTATGGTGGGCATGGGGAAGTTGGGGGGGCGTGAGGGCATGGGGACGTTGGGGGGGCGTGAGGGCATGGGGGGTAGGAGCAGAGCAGGCCGACCTCACGTGGATGCTGCCGGGGCGACTGCTCGCCTTCAGCACGCCCGCTGACGACCCCGCTAGCGCCATGGTGGGTAGTGGGATGGGCGTGGTGGGTGGTGTCAAAGATGGCACGAAGGCATGGGGGATGACATGGTGGGTTGCATGGGGTCATGGTACTTGGCATGTGGCATGCTGGCATGCCATGGCTCTGTGCAGCACAGACGCCTTTGCAACTCCAATGCCCATGTTACCTCTCTTCCACTGCACAGCACGGCACAGCCATCCACACCACTAGGTTTGAGACGTCTCAAAACTAAATCCAATGCCCATGTTACCTCTCTTCCACTGCACAGCACGGCACAGCCATCCACACCACTAGGTTTGAGACGTCTCAAAACTAAATCCAATGCCCATGTTACCTCTCTTCCACTGCACAGCACGGCACAGCCATCCACACCACTAGGTTTGAGACGTCTCAAAACTAAATCCAATGCCCATGTTACCTCTCTTCCACTGCACAGCACGGCACAGCCATCCACACCACTAGGTTTGAGACGTCTCAAAACTAAATCCAATGCCCATGTTACCTCTCTTCCACTGCACAGCACGGCACAGCACCGCACAGCACAGCACAGCACAGCACAGCACAGCACAGCACAGCACAGCACAGCACAGCACAGCACAGCACAGCACAGCACAGCACAGCACAGCACAGCACAGCACAGCACAGCACAGCCATCCACGCCACTAACCCACCACTCGCTTGCACTGCCCGTCCTTCCACTCCCCCACCCACTGCATGTGACCACCTGCGTCCTCCTGCCGTATTAGGAGGGGTACCTCACCCCAGAGGACTATGTGCAGTACTTCCGACAGGTGAGCTGCCCAGGGGGTTTGCGCTTCTACTTTTGAGGCGCCTCAAAAGTAGATCAGAAGGACTATCTAACCCCCGAGGAGGACTATGTGCAGTACTTCTGACAGGTGCGGTACTTACGGTGGTTGCGCTTCAATTCTGCGCCATGGTTTTGCTTGCTTGCTTGTAGGCACCTGCTGGGAAGCCTGTTTAGAGAACAAAACCAACTCGGTCTCGGCCCAACCACACCGAGTCTTGCCGCACTGCTTCCTCACTGGTTTCACCAGCCCTGTTGCTCCAGAACTAGACGGATTTGTGCGTGTGTGCTTGGGTGCGTGTATGCATGTGTGTACGTGTGTAACAATGTGTGTTTGCGTGCATGCATGCAGGCGGGCATAGCGGCCATAATCCGGCTCAACAGGAGGGTGTACGACAAGAGGCGATTCACCCGCCATGGCTTTGCTTTCTACGACCTCTACTTCCCTGATGGCGGGTCAGTCGTTGCTGGTGGTTGGGAAGGAGTGGGGTGGAGTGGGGTGGGGTGGGTTGGATGGTATGCGGCGATTCACCCGCCATGGCTTTGCCTTGTACGACCTCTACTTCCCTGATGGCGGGTCAGTGCTCCCATCCCACTCAGTCATGGCTGCCGGGTGGGATGGGTTGGGTGCTCTGTGCTGGACATTCCGGAGAAATTATTCGACGTTCAATCTTTCCGGAGGGCAGCATTGGCCTTCGAGGTGGTGTGCAATCGTTCCCTCCCTCACCTTCTCTCCCGCCCTCCTCTCTTCCTCCTCGGCCTTCTCATCAGTGCCCCATCGGACAGCATAGTGGAGCGCTTCTTGTTAGAAATCCTATGTTATAGCATGCTAACACTTGTGACTGTACACCAATTGTGGTGTACAGTTGGGTTGGGACTACACCCAACTTTGGGTGTAGTCTTGCATTTTGGGGTGCCAATCCAACCCAATCGTGGTGGAGCCCCCAAATGCAACACTATGGGCCATAGGGTATCCCACTTCACAAAGTGAGGCCAACCCAACCCAATGGGCCATAGGTTGGCCCACTCCCCCAATCCCACCTCCCTCCTTTTCCCTTCCAACCTTCTCTTCCAAACCTATGTATGCTTGTTCTTCTCTTTAATGAAACTAATCATTCTTTTTCAATTCTTCACACTTCTTTGCCGTGGTGGAGGGCAGCAACGGCCCTTGACTCACTTACCTCTCATTCCCCTCCTTCCCTCCCCTCCTCCCCCCTCTCCATACCTCATCAGTGCCCCCTCAGATGGCATAGTGGAGCGGTTCTTCGCCGTGGTGGAGGGCAGCAACGGGCCCGTCGCCATCCACTGCAAGGTGCTGCTCTCTCTCTTACTACCCTGCTCTCTCTCTTACTACCCTGCTCTCTCTCTTACTACCCTGCTCTCTCTCTTACTACCCTGCTCTCTCTCTTACTACCCTGCTCTCTCTCTTACTACCCTGCTCTCTCTCTCTTACTACCCTGCTCTCTCTCTTACTACCCTGCTCTCTCTCTTACTACCCTGCTCTCTCTCTTACTACCCTGCTCTCTCTCTTACTACCCTGCTCTCTCTCTTACTACCCTGCTCTCTCTCTCTTACTACCCTGCTCTCTCTCTTACTACCCTGCTCTCTCTCTCTTACTACCCTGCTCTCTCTCTCTTACTACCCTGCTCTCTCTCTCTTACTACCCTGCTCTCTCTCTTACTACCCTGCTCTCTCTCTCTTACTACCCTGCTCTCTCTCTTACTACCCTGCTCTCTCTCTTACTACCCTGCTCTCTCTCTTACTACCCTGCTCTCTCTCTTACTACCCTGCTCTCTCTCTCTTACTACCCTGCTCTCTCTCTTACTACCCTGCTCTCTCTCTCTTACTACCCTGCTCTGCAAGGTGCGGCACCGCCCTCTCACTCACCCGCTCCACCCTGCATTGCTTCCTTTGCCAAGCATGCTGCTGTGCTGTGCTGTGGGCTGCAACTGCAACAAGCAAGCCCCTCTGCCTTGTGTTGAGTGCTTCGCCTCTCTCTCCCACTTCGCCTCCACTCCACACTGGTGCTCTCACGCACTCCTCTCTTCCTCGCTCTCCTCATCCTTCCTCCTCGCCACTCCCCAATCTCCCTCCCCTCTCCACCCTCCACTGATGCTGCTCCACCAGGCAGGTCTGGGGCGCACGGGGGTGCTGGTGGGGTGTTACCTTATGAAGCACTGCGGCATGACGGCCAGGCAGGTGAGGCTGACGGCCAGGCAGGTGAGGCTGACGGCCAGGCAGGTGAGGCTGACGGCCAGGCAGGTGAGGCTGACAGCCAGCAGGTGAAGCTGACGGCCAGGGAGGTGAGGGTGATGCGGGGAGCAGGGGTGGGAGAGCAGAGGTGGGAATGGAATGGGGATCTCATCACAACATACCATGCCTCTCGTGCACATGACTCCCCCTCGCACCCACCCACACCCTTGCGTCCTCATACTCGCCAAACCACACGCCCTCCTCCCCCCTCACCTCATCCACGCACCGCCAGGCCATAGCATACACGCGGCTCATGCGGCCGGGGTCAGTAATCGGGTACCAGCAGCACTTCCTCTCATGCTTCCCCTCGCACCCCTCCCGCCCCCAACTCTCCCCTACCTCATCCACTCCCCATCAGGCCATAGCATACACGCGGCTCGTGCGGCCGGGGTCAGTGATCGGGCAGCAGCAGCACTTCCTGGCGCTCATGCACCCGCGCATGGCACGTGCTGTGAGTGCAGCTTAGCTGCATGAGCCTAGTGTGCCCTCACCTTTGTGATTGCCATTCCTACTTTCGTGATTGCTTTCGTTTGTTTACCATACCATGCCGTGGTGAACTGTTACCATCGTATTTAAGCCAATCCCATCGCCCTCGTCTCTCCGTCCCACCTGCACCCCTCTCTGCTCTGTCGTCCTCTCAGGGAGAGGAGTTTCGGCGCAAGACCCGAGCGCTCTCGCCCTTCTCACCTCGCACCACCACCACCACTGCATCCCACAACCCTCCCCCTGTGCTCCCCCACGCTCATGCGCCCAGCCTCGCCCTGCCATCGCGCACGGGGCGCAAGGTGTACGCGCGGACGGACGAGCAGGCAGCAGCAGCCGTGGCCGACTTGCAATTCGCCCGCCACTCGCGCTCGCTCGCCCGCACCGGCTCCGTGCCTGTGCGGCCAGGCTCGGCAGGACCGGCACGGTCAGGCTCGGCCGGGCCAGTGCGGTCAGGCTCGTCAGTGTCCGCGTCGCTGCGGTTGCCCCTGGGGAGGAGTGTGAGCCGGCCAGGCAGCAGCAGTGGTGGTGCCGAGAGCAGCATGAGTGGCGGGGGTGGTGGCGGGTGGAGGGCATTGGACCCAAGCGGAGGAGGCAACGCGAAGGTGGGGGGAGGGAGAGGCGCGCAGCTAGTGCCGCCAACACACCACATGCTCGTGGGGGTGGTGATGGGATGGAAGGGGTAGAGGAGGGCGGAGGAAGCGGGGAGGAGGGTGAGGAAGGAGGGGAGGGAGGAGAGGAAGGGGGTGGGATGGGAGTGCGGGAGAGCGGGGCATGGGTGAGGCTGAGACGGCTGGGGGGAAGCATGCGCATGCCGTTTGACTCACTCGCCCTCTCCCTCTCCTCCTCCCCTGCCCTGCGCCGCCCCATCAGCAAATCAGCATCCATGTCCCCTTACACATCCATGCCTGCCATGACTCCCATGACTCCCCATTCCTCTGTGCCTGCATCCCATGCATCCCATGCATCTGCTGCTCTCCCCCCCGGCATGGCATCCCCCGAGCCTCGCCATGTGAGGGCTGCCAGGCGGCTCAGGCTGAGGGGGTTGGGGGCGGCTGTTGATGGAGTGCGGGTGGTCAGAGGGATGGGGAAGGAAGCAGGGGAGAGTGGTGGTGGTGCGGAGGAGGTGCGTGTGGGGGAGGGTGGTTGTGGTGTGGGGGAGGGGGAGGGAGGAGCGCGGTGTGGCGAGGGGGAGTGCAGTGCGGTGGAGGGCAATGTTGCTGTACAAGAAGCAGAATGTGTAGGTGAGGAGGGTGCTGGTGCAGCAGATGTAACGGGAGAAGGCAGGGATAGGGAGTCCAGAGGGGCATCGGAGCAGGCAGCAGAGGTTGCAAGCGCGCTTGCAACGAGGATGGACAGTGCAGCACAGGTGGCAGCACAGGCTGTACCAAGTGAAACAGTGGCATCAGATCAGGGAGCGCCAGAGGCAGCAGCAACGGCACCAGATTCTGAGAGGCCGCAAGCAGCAGCAGTAGCAGCAGCAGCAGCAGAGCAGGTGGGGGCGAGCAGGAAGACACACTCATGGGCAACCTCATGGCTGGGCTTGTCATTCTGTGGCCTGATGCCATGCCAGCCGTCAAGACCACCACCATCGCCATCTTCATCACTCTCACTCTCACCCCCGCCATCACCACCACCACCACCATCCTTGCCGCCACCGTCAGTTGCTGCTGCAGCGCGCACAGCCACATCCGCAGGCTCTGCAAGCCCGCTTCCCTCTCCTCTTCCAGCCTTCCCTCCCTGCTCCGCAGCAGGTGCAGCAGGCGTGGAGGGGGCAGCAGAGAGAAGCGAGGCAGAGGGAGCGGCAGAAGAGCCAGCGGCAGCGGCGGGAGGTGCAGAGGCAGCAGGGTTAGCTCCAGAAGATGCCGCCCCAAGGCCGGGGGGGCCAGTGACACGCGACTACACACCGGCTGATGCAGACCTAGCTCCTAGGTTCGGGCGCACACAGGCGGTGGGTGTGCAGGGCTCAGGGGGGGAGCAGGAAGGGGCGCGCAGAAGCACAGTGGTGCGAGTGATTAATGCAGGGGGACAGCCCAGGAAGGTGGTGGTGCCAGCAGGGCAGGGGAGAGTGCGGGGTGCGGGTGTAGAGGCAGGGATGAGAGGGGTAGGGGGGCATGCGCAGGTTGTTTCAGTGGCAAAGTTTGGTGCAGTGCAGGGAGGTCGGTTCTGGCTTGGTGTGAGAAGATAGCTTGTCAAGCTAGCTGTACATTCCTGTTGCCCACCCTATTGCTTGTCCAATTCCTTGTTGGCAATGTGAGTTGGCTTCTCTTCTCATTGCCCCATTGCACGTGCATAAGTGGCAGTTTTTTTTATCAACTGCCACCCTGCTAACGGTATCACTCACATGCTTTCCCAACCCAAAAATTTCACCATCAAAGACCCCAGCAATCCAGCAGCAGAGACCTCCGCAACCCACAAGCAACTGGAGCTAGAGTTCCAGATATTTCAGAACCATGTGTAAGGTTGGGTGAGTCATTGCCTCCATGGGCAAGCTCAAAGCAATTTGTCATCATGATACATACCGTTACAAATCCATTGTACAGAATTTACCTATGGCACACACAACCACCATCACAGTGGCCTAAAGGGCTACTACTTGACGCCCTGAGTGTCAATCCTCGGCCCTAGGTCCCACGCCAGTCCGATTCGTAGGTAATAGCAGACACCCCTATGCGGTATCTCAGTAACCAATGGCGGCTACTGGAGACCAGCTCCGTCCCTAAGGGCGGTCATACGGTAGGTGCTCCGCCCGCACCCGCGCGCTCCTTCCAGCCGCGGCAGTCTCCAGCACAATTGCCCAACCGCCCGCTGCGCGCATCACTCGCGGAGTCTTCTCTCGCCCAGCAGCCTGCGCCCGACCGCACTCGCGATCCCCGGACCTACATCCCCCGCCCCTTCCGCCTCCTCCCCCTCCGCCATCATCTCCGCCACCGCCCACGACCCGTCGCTCTCCTCTCTCCGCGCGCTGGCGACTCCTTCCGCCGCCTTGAACCGCGAGAACGCGCAATCCGCGGCGACGAGGCTGGACGACCGGTAGCTCTCGACGGAGCCGTCAAGATAGCCGTCGCCGTTATCTCCTGCCACTTCCCACGCCTGCGCGTCGCGGCTCCACTGCAGGCTGACCGCGAACGATCGCTCCTTCTGGGAACTCCGGAACGTTTGCCCCATCACGCCGTGCGGGTCGGTCAACCCGCCCCCAGATAACACCTCCACCGAGAAATGCACAAACGCGTCAGCTGGTGATTGTCGGTCGACCGCCTCTGGCCTAATATGGACAAGGAAGTCCGCCCCTTGCCGGCCACCGGACTGTATTCTGAGAGTCTCGGCTTCCACGCCGTTGGATTCGGTGACCCCCACGTGGTGCACTCTCAGGGCGCCGTCGTCGCTCTCTAGGATGTGCGATGGCGACAGTCGCTGGGCGACGTCGTCTAACACAATCGACTTCAAGAAACCGTCGCCGAGCGACGCGTCTGCCCCCTGCCGCGCTCTAAGCTGCAGCGAGTGGCCTGCCACGAGCACGCCTATCGCTTTGACCCAAGTGCGCGTCGTGGCGCCTGGAGTAATGTTAGCATCGCTGCCTAAACTGATCGAATCGTCGCCGAGATTACCCGATGCGCCAGCCATTTCCATATTGATGTGCAGCGAGGGGTCGGAGAGCAGGCAGTAGGCTTCGCCGGGCACGCCGGTGAATCGGAAATGAACGCCATCTGCGCCCTCGAAGTGCGGATCGCCGAAGAAGGATGCTATTGGCCGCTGCTCCGCTGCTGCTAGACCTAGTCTCGAGTTGGTGAGCACTACGAGAACTACGAGTGCTACTACGCGATTGTGACAGGCTGAAGCCATGTGTGCGGACAATGAAAGGAAGAGATGTGGTTGTGTGGAGATACAAGCTAAGATCCGATACCTAGTGTCTCTTAGGATGGTCTCATCGTGATAACTCGACTGAAGGAACAACCAAAAGCAGGTGGCTTTGTTGGCAAAGGGGAAGGGGATGGAGTGGGATGAGATTAGGTGGGATGCGATGTGAGGGGATGGCAATACAGTGTTCGATTTTGTGTGCTTGCGTTGGCGGATGCACCTGGGAAGGATGCGGAGGGTGTGCGGACAGGGTGGAAGAAAGCGGAGGGCGGAAAAATCGCCTATTGCGCAGGTGGGGCGGACGTTCCACCCACTCTTTCTCCGACCCGCTCTTGTTTCTGATGGTAGTTGTGGGGGGAGGGCGCAAGCACTACTGCGTCAAGCGCGCCAACCAGATGGCCCCACCCTGGGTGTTCTATTCTCTGGTGACAACGACCAAATCATACCTGCGATCTGCGCAAGGAACGACCTTCAAATCGAAGCCGTCAGGGTCCCTCGCAGAGTAACACTTGACCGTCGATCGCAGTGAGTTACAGTCAACCATGCACACACAGCACTCCCGAGATTTGTGTGATTGCACCTGCGACGCGGGCGGTCTGGGTGTGCCACTATCAGCAAGGGGATCTGGCGTGGACACCATGGATTCTGCTGTCGCTGCGAAAGCCAGTCGCGAAAAGGATTACAGCTGAGATGGCTTGTATGGTAAGATCTCGATTGTGAGGCTTCATTATTGTATTAGGTGATTACAGACTGAGCGAGAATTGTGGCAGCTGATATGTACCTTCATAACAACCACTATATACAAATGTGTGTGCATATGGCGAATGCGTGGTGACGGGTTGCAGTAGCACCAACCAATGACCATGTGGACTCGCAAATGCTGTTCTGATGACATGTCAACTGCGCAATCCCGTACCCGCAAATCGAACGTCGAGGAAAGCCAGAACAGATTCTTCATCCAGTGTAAGAGCAACACGTGGCCGACCTCGTCTTCCCTTTCTGCCTAGTGTGGGAGCGACACGGCACGGGATACATGATCATGAATCAATTCAAGCCAAGCCAAACTTGGAGCATGACCGCCACAAGCTCATTTGCCGTCAAATCACCTCGTCATCAGTATTCCTGAGGAGTTTCTCCACAGCAAAGCAGAAACTAGGAACGTGCTCCCTCAGCAGCCATTTCACAAATTCCGCTCACTGGCCATCCTCATGGCTGCCATAACCTCGTTCGGAAATCTGTCTGTGAAGCTGCAAAGCAACGCCTTCATTGGTGAGATGCTGATCACCTCATTTACCACTGTACCATAAAAGCGAGCAGCAGTCTAAAGTGAAGCTTTCCTTTCCGTTTGCAGGCCAGAGGCTTAGAAGTACTGCAGTTCCGACTTGTCAGGTAGGCGAAATTCCGCCGCATTCTGAACACTGCGTCATCCGATGGTCCCGCGGCTTTAACCTTGTCACCTCGATGCCTCTGTTAGGTATCGCATGGCCGGCCAGCGTCGTTGGCGGTGAGAGCTGAGGCAGCGGACGGCGATCGGAAGAAGACGGGCGCCGAGCTGCGAGAGGAGTTCTTTTTGGCGGCCGCCACTGGCAAGGAGAGAGGGTGAGTCGAAGGAATCGCAACGCAGAATGAAAAAGCAATTGCATGGGTAGGAAAGCAATAGTAGGAACATTTTGATTCGTGAGCCTTTGTACCTTGCCCCTCTATACTAGCACTCCAATCTCCCAATCGTCCTTCTTTTTACATCACATTGTCATTTTAACGTGGTGTTAACCCCTGTCTCCTCGGTCCTCTCATCGATGCTCCCTTAAATCCCCCTAGTCTGCCCGAGGGAGCGTTTCTGAACGACAATGTGGTGGACGGGCCCATGGTGGACATCACGTGGGAGCCGTACGGCGACACCTGCAGCGCGCCGGTGAGTGCTTGCAATGCCACCTATTTTTCGTCTCGTGGGTGCGTGGCTCGCACAGTGGGAATCAGGACGAGAATGTCGAAGTTGTAGGAAGACTTCAAGCTTTGGAAACTAAAGCGTAGTGCTAATTTGTTGAAAATAGAAGTGATTCTCTTTGGTCCATTCACAGCGTGAATGTCATCTTTCATCGTTCAGCTGATATCATCCGCCCAAAATGTGTAGCAGTAGGATTATTTGAATCTGGAATGCTGCACAATCCGGACTTCTTCTCCCCACCAGTTTCCTTACTCCCTCTCGATATTCTCAGACACAGCTTGCTTTCTTTCAATACCCTATTCACGCTCACCCGTTGAATAATGTCAGGAGGGTTCCAGTCTGCTAAAGGCGGCTGTCGACGCGGGTGCCTTGACGATTGACAACCGCTTCTGCCTCACAGGGCAATGTGATGTTTGCATCATTGAGCTTGACGGCGAGGTGATGAGGTCATGCATGAAGCCAGTTCCAACGTGAGTCAGACTATTAATAGCAGGGCTTTAACAAGGGGACCAGAATATGTGGATTGCAACTTTGACGTTATGTCTATGTGTGTGTTTGCACGCACACACATGTGGTCTGTGCATGTACACTTCTGCCTGTGCATTTGACTCTTTCTCCTCGTTCAATTGCATTTGTTTTGTGTGCGTGGCATGTGTACATGCAGGGGGCAAAAGAGTATAACATGCCTCGTCCTTGATACTGATGACGCCTGGTGAGTTAAATTGGTGTTTTATGGTTTTTTGTCTCTTGGCTGGCTAGATATCTGACTCCCGGCTTTCATGTGCAGGGACGAAATGATGGTTTGAGGATCTTGATGTAACTTATAAGCGTCAACCCACACCTCTTCACGACTAGTGGATTGCATTGTTGTATCGAGGACATTTCTGCACTCCACCCAAAGCTTGGTGGTTGTGCAAGATTTTTTGAGGAAACTCAAAGATCTAGTGATTCTGAACCACAACTTCCATCAATGTCGATGGTGGTGTGGCTTACGATTAGTGGCTATGGTATTTGTCCAATCGAATGCTTACATCATTATAACCCCAAAACACGTGTTCAGACGAGCTGTTCGTGGATAGAAGAAAATGATTTGTTGGATGAGTTGATAGAACATGAAATTGCACTGTTACCTTATTCACGCGCTTCAATAGACCCAAATTCTTCGGGAGAATATGTCACAAGTAACCAGCATGGGACTCGATAACGTGAATGGTAAAAAAGTAACGCGTACGGTCACTGTATCGGGTTTGCTGACGGGTTTGGTAAGTGGGCTCACGGATTCAGTCACTAACAACAGGTGAAAAATCACGCGAATGGTTACACATGTAACTCCCGCCAAAATTTCTTGAAACTCTACAAAATTCCCGCTCGCGCTCAACCAATCAGCTAATTTCTCAAAATAATAATACCCAATCGGAATCGGATGCGGTTTGGGAACGGATCAATCCTAAACACCTGGCGAGTTGTGTTTAGGGTTGATTCATCCGAAAATGCATCCAGGTTCGTTTTGGGTATTATCTTTTTTGGGCGGGAGTTTCATCTGTGACCATTCGCGTTATTTTTTCCCAGTTGATTGTGACTGATTCCGTGAAACGTTTTATCAAACACGTGAAAACACCCTTTGCAGTGACCGTACCCGTTATTTTTTTACCAAACATATTATGGAGACCCTTGTTGATTACGAGTGGCATATTTCCCCAAATTCTCCTCCATCCGTACTTTTGCAATCCGCGGGGCGTATTGGTCTCCCAAGCTAAACAAATTCGTCCAATCATATCCCCGCAGGTATCAAGGAGCTGCCACGTAGCCCTTGATTCTGCCCTCCCGCTCTGGGATTCCCGGTTTGTATCTCCGTCCTCCCCCTCAACCGCATCTGCCCTCCTCAACCTCACCAGCTCGGCTGCCTGCACTAGGCAAAAGCAGAGCATACACCACATACGCTGCATCACATACACGCAGATATCTTCCACGATTCAAGAATTGGCTTTGCGCCCGTTTGACTTGAGGCTTTCCCTCTTGTCAACGCTCGCAGCCTCCCTCAAGCTCCCAGCCTCTTCGCTAGCAATGGCAGGCCTTCCGTGCCAGGTGACGGCTGCGCTTGCGGGCGCGCGGCTCGCGTTTCACTACGACGTTCGACCCGCTTGCGCCATTAGCAATCCTGTCTCGAGTCTCCTGCGAATTTCACCCTTTTGGGGCGAGGCGATTGGGGGTGTACACGCGAAATCAGGATGCGTAGGATCGAGAGAGCGATTCTTCCAACACGCGTCGACCCGTGAGTCGGGAGTTTGCGTTAGGGCGTTTGGCAAGGAGGGAGCGAGCGACATTGACGGCAGCGTCGCTAGCGTATCGGACAATAGACGTCAGGTCCGAGAAATTCTTGCCACTTCCACTTCACCTGACGCCGACGTGAGCGCGGGAATGGGCGTGGGAGGGTGCGACTTCCTCCAGTCAGGCTGCGAATCCGACTGTCCGATATGCGCATCCGCGGGTGCAGGAGGGCGCTCGAGCGATGGCGAGGCCCCGCCGTGCCTGATTGGCCTCACGACGGCCGCTCAATTCGCGCGCAAGGACGCGACGCTGCTTGCCAGGTGCCTCTTCCATTCCATTGCTGCATTGTCTTCGTTGTTGACGTCACCAAGCGCTATCGGTTGCATGGAACACCATTGGCCTTTAGAAAGATCGTTATGCGACCTCGATTCAGCTTAGCTATTCTTCTTGGTTCAGCTCGGCAAGCGTAGACGGCTTGAGGACGAGTCTACAAACACACTTGCTGGCCTCCGTCTCGCTCTGTCCCCCCTCATTCTCGCCGTAAAATCACGTCCAAACCGCTGCTGTGTCCGCGTGCACCGGTGGTCTGACAGGGGGTTCTGGTCGCTGGACTCGAGGGCGCGCGAGGACGTGGCGCTGCTGGGATCCAAGTTCCTCACGCTCGACGGTAAGTTTCCCTCGCCTGTAAGTTCCTAACGCTCGCCGGTAAGTTGGTCAGCTTGACGGTAAGCTCGTCACGTTCGACGGCACGTCCCGTATTCCACTCTTTCTTCCTCATTCTCGCCCACCGTATTCCGTTCCTCCCCGCGGTTCGCGTACTGTAATTTCCTGCTCGCCATCCTCCCATCCCCTCCCACTGTCCGCCGGTCCGTGCCCGCCATGTGAGCAGCGCGGGCGCGCGAGGACGCGGGCGTGCTGGATGCGCGCGCGCGGCTGCGAGTCAGGCGCCTGCGACACCTGGCGCTGGTACGACTAATGGCGGGAACAGGTGCGGGGGACGAGGTGCATCAGGTTCAGTGAGCACCAGGAAGCACATGCATGCCGATTCTCAGCTGTAGCAATTCAGCCTCTTCCACCCAATCCCTGCAAATTCCAAGCCAGGCCTGCTATGCGTGGGAGGCTTTCTGTGCATGGGCTAACGAGCGTGTGGGCGTGGGGTGTGGCGCGTGGGGGTGTGGGGCTGTGCGTGTGGGGTGCAGGGGTTGGAGGAGAGTGCGCGCGAGGAGCTGAGTCGGCAGGCCGCACAGCACTGGCGGGATGGCGCCCTCGCGGTGAGCCTAGGGTCATGCCTCATGTGTCATGCTTCATGCGTCATGTGTCATGCTTCATGTGTCATGTGTCATGCTTCATGTGTCATGTGTCATGTGGCATGCATCATGCGGGCTGCTTGGGAGTGGGTACCATTCATTAAAAAAGCGATGTGCTCCTTTATACTAATGCTCACCAGCTCCTTTCTCCCTTCAAACCTTCGAGACTAATGACTCACCACCCTGAACCCTCATGCCTTCCATTCTACCACCCCTGTTTTGGCATGGCATGGCATGGCAGGCAGATCTTCGTCTTGCTGACATGCGCATGAGGCGGCGAGGGCTAGAAGACGTCTTCCTTGCTCTGCAGGTACCATCGTGCTCTGCAGTGTGCTGATTGCACCACACCCATGCTTGTCACAACCGTTGTTCTTCCACAGTGTAAGGCGTTCTGATGTATGACTCACATCTCCCATGCTTTGGCCCTTATCCTCTATTGCCACACACAGGTGGTGAAGAGCCTTCACTCCGCTATAGTCACACTGCTTCGCCCCGACGCCCTTCCTTCTACTGCCTCATCCACGCCTGCTTCCACACCCTCCAACACTCCTGCCACCACCACAAGAAGAAGCAGCACCGCACTGCACCCATCGGCACCCCTTCAAGATAGCTCAGCTGCATCCACCCCATCCACCAGCCAAGCCGCCATACCACCGTCCCCCTCACAACCGCTTCCTTTGATGGACTCTCAGAGCGAGGGTGCAGAGGGGAGTAGATTGGAGGAGGATGGGGAGGAGAGGAGGTCTGTGAGCACCAATCCCCTCACGCCACGTCAGCGGCAGCATCCGCTATCCACACTGTCATTCAAGACGCTTGCTGCACTTGACGTATGAGTCTTGCCTTGAGCCATCCCCATGTGTGCTTTCGTAGACTGCAATGCCGATGCACTTCACCCTCGATGCTTCTCTCCCGTGCTTTCTCTCTGTCCTCCTCCCTCTTGTTTGTCGCATGTCATCATTACCTCATGCCGTCGCTTCATGCCAGCGCCTCATGCTGTCATGCACAAACTCAGCATCACCTGTAATTTGTCTACTGAATCCTCTCTGTGTGCTTGCAGGAGCTGTACCGAGAGATCGGCCCACACTCCCTCACACCGTTGGAGGGGGAGGAGGACGGGGAGGAGGAGGAGTGGGGAGTGCTGGGAGTGGGGGGCGATGACAGCACCACAGAGGAGGTCAGCACACCTCCTGCTCTGCCCCTACGTAGCTGCATCCATCCCGCTGTGCTGCCTTCCTTCGTCCCTCCCGCCTCCCCTCCCTTCTCCAGAGCATTGCAACAGCAACCCATGCCCTCTCGCATTGTCCTGCTCCTCATCTTTCCCTCTTCCACCCCTCCCTCGCATTCCCTTCCTTTCCCCCTCCCCCTCCATCTGTAGCTGGGCTTCCTGCTGGCAGCACTGGTGGACATGGGGGAGGTGAGCAGCAGCTACGGCTTGGCTCTGCTGCACCGCTGCTGCGCCTCCCCCCACGTCGCTCTGCGCCTGACGGCCGTTGACGCCCTCTCCAGCGCTCCCTCCCTCTCCGCCCTTGGGAATGCCGGCTGCGCCGTGCTGCAGGTCAGTGTGGGGGTTGAAGAGATGGGAGTGGTGCAGGTGAGGGTGAGGGAGTGGTGCAGGTGAGGGGATCCTATGAGTGTCGCATGTGACAGGGAAGGGGTGCAAGTGTACCTGAGTAGATGAATGTGTTGTAGATGCATGGATTAGAATCGAATCTTGAGTTGCGTTGCATGCGATACTGACGAGTCTTGTCGTCGCTCTTACGATGTGTGTATTGTATTCCCTTCCTATCTCAGACGCTGACAAAAGATGCGGATCCGGAGGTGGCAGAAGCAGCAGCCATGGCGATAGCACAGCTGCAGGAGAAATGGCAGCAGCAGCAGCAGCAACGGGAGGAGGAGGAGCAGGGCGGGGCAGCAGGCACGGGTCCATCTGGTGCCTTGTCGCTGGAGCAGGCATTCAGTCGTGCCGCCGCCAAGTGGCAACACGCCAGTTCCGGTGGTGCCACTGATGACGAGCAGACAGATGAGAGCACAGATGGCGGTGTGGATGGCAGTGAGGATGGTGACAGTGACGGATGTAGATAGGGCCTTGCGGTGCAGATAAGTCATCTGTGAGTCATCTGTAACGTACGGTACGTGTGGAGCAAAATAGCACCGTGTGCCGAAAGAGGGTACACTGTACCTGCATGGCGTCTGTATATAATTGAACTTTGGTGCCGTTGCACCGTGCTAGTGACAGGCATTTTCGAGTACAGTATTTTTTGCAAGTGGGTGGGATGGGATGACCAGTGCCGATTGGGATGCCTTGCGCCGCTGATTGATCACAACAGAGTGGGATCTGGGCTAGGTTTTAGAGTGGAAAAAGTGGCGAGCTGAGGGAGTGTATTGCGTGAGGTTAGTTAGAGTTTTAGCACATAAGATCGTAACTATGGTGCTCTAGCTTTTCTGCTCAATAGGGGCTAAGAATGGATGCCACCAGTGTTGGTAAGTGAATGAAAATCTTATATCACTCTCTTGAAGTCATCACGCAATAACCCGCTAATGTATCCTCGATAAAGCACACCTCAAACTTTGTGCACATTCCCTGCACCCACCTCACGCCATGTTCGCCATCCTTCAGCAACCCTAAAAACGCTTCATCACTTCCTTACGACCTTAGGATTGGCTCGATGCTCAATGATACTACTCTCTTCCATCGCGTAGTCCTAGTCCTTAGTCCGTTCGTCAGCCCTGTTCGATTTTTCTTGTTAACGCAGGGAGTATATTTGCGCTCTACTCGCATCTGGCGCTGTTCTTTCCCTGCGCGTGAGGCACGGGCGGCGTGCAGCGGCGCAGTGGCGGAGCGAGCGACGGTGGTGCGCGGAGTGGGTTGGGACGCGGGGAGGCATGGCGGACGAGGATGTGGTGGAGGTGCGTGGAGCGGAGGGCGACGAGCAGGGCGAGGTGAAGGACGGAGCAAGCGATTACGAGGACTACGGCGACGATGACGTGGATGATGTCGTGGATGATGACGTGGATGATGACGTGGATGAGGAGGAGGAAGAGCAGGAGGAGGTGGAGGACGATACGCAAGGGGGGGTTGAGGAGGAGGAGGAAGTACAAGAGGCGGACACCCCGCGGGGCCGCGACAGCCCGTACAAGGCGAGTCGCTGCCTCCGGTAACCCCGCGCTGCGTCGCACTCGCTGCTCGTTCTCTGCTCCTTCTCTCTGGCTATGTTCTGACACCTCTTTCCCCCCTGCCCGCCTCTGCTCTCTCCCTCCCCCTGCCATAACGCTGACATCACCAACGGCCACGCGAATGCCGCCACCGTCCTTAACCGATCGGAACCGTTGCAGGTGCTGTCGGAGGCGGACATAGTGCGGAAGCAGGCGCGGCTGGTGCGCGAGATCGTGAGCTTCCTCAACGTCTCCGAGTCCGCCGCCGCGCTGCTGCTGCGCTCCTTCAAGTGGAGCGTCAACCGCGTCACGTGAGTCGGCCGCGTCGCGTGAGCCGCGCACTCTCTCGCTGCCGCTCCCATCCGCCACCCCCGCTATCACCGCGCGCTTCGCCATCCATTTCGCGTCATCTCTCTGCGCCTCCACGCACCGTGCCTCCGCACACCGTGCCTCCGCGCGCGGTGCCACCTTGCACCGTGCCTCCCCTGGTCTTCCTCACCGCTCTTTCTGCGTCCCCTCTCAACCCCTGCCTATCTCTTCCCTGAATGTCTCCACCTTGTCCCTCCCGCCACCCCGCTCTCTCCCCCCTCCCCCCTCCCCCCTCCATTCTCTCCTCCCCCCCCGTTCCTTCTGCCAGCGACGCGTGGTTTTCGGACGAGGAGGGGGAGCGCAAGCGCCTGGGGATCTTCGCGCCCGCCTCCCCGCGGGAAGCCTCATCGTCCGCGTCCGTCCCCGCTACAGTGCGCTGCGGTATCTGCTTTGACGACCACCCTCTAGAATCGACGGTCGTGATGGCGCTGTGCGGGCAGCACCGCTACTGCGTGCCCTGCTGGCAGACCTACGTGGCATCCGCCATTGCTGACGGGGCGGGGTGCCTGTCGCTGCGCTGCCCTGCGCCCAAGTGTGGCGCAACAGTGGAGGATGCGCGCATCCTCGCGCTCCTCGCGGACGCTGCTGCGCCCGCCCATGGGGACGCGCTGGGGGAGGGGCGGGGGGAAGCGGGTGGGGAAGGGGACGTGTGCGCCGAGAAGGGGAAGGGGAAGGAAGCGGGAGATGGCAGGGGAGCGGATACAGCAGGAGCAACAGCAGGAGCAGCAGGAGCGGGAGGCACAGAAGTCAGTTCCCGTGAGGCTGCGGCTGGTGGTGCTGCTGGTTCGTCCCAGAGTGTTGGGCGCGGTGGCAAGGCGCGGAGGGTCAAAGGCGCGCCCGCTGCGCCCCTGCCTGCTGCTGCTGAGCCCGGAGGCAGGGAGGCTGCGGCTTGTGGCTCGGGCGCACAGCAGACAGCAGCAGCAGCGGCGGAAGCACCAGTGCAGTCAGCAGCAGCGGCAGGGGGGGCAGCAGCAGCAGGCGGGGCAGCAGCAGCGGGGGTTGGCGAAGATGAGGGCAGCGGAGCAGCATTCCCGTGTGGGGCAGGGGTGGCGGCAGCAGAAGCGCAGCGGTACAGGCGGTACCAGCTGAGGTCGTTTGTGGAGGCGAGTGAGAGCGTCAAGTGGTGCCCCTCGCCCGGCTGTGACTTCGCTATCCACTCCGAAGGCGGCGGCCCCACCCCCCGCGCCCTGCCAGGCGCGGGGGCGCGCGGGGGGAAGCTGAAGGGGGTGATGGCGGAGGAGGAGGAGGAGGGCGGCAGGGGAGGGGCGGTGTGGGGCGGGAGCAGGAGCCGGGACGTGCGGTGTGCGTGTGGGCATGAGTGGTGCTGGCACTGCCTGCAGGAGCCCCACCGCCCTGTGGACTGTGAACTCGTGCGCAAATGGGGCGTCAAAAACAGGTCCGTGGGCAAATGGGGCGTCAAAAACAGGTCCGTGCGCAAATGGGTCGTCAAAAACAGGTCCGTGTTTTGCCTTGTTCTGTCTCTGCTGTGGGCATGGGGTAGCCTCCCCTCATTCTTCCCCGCTCTCTCCCCATCCGCCCTCCTCTCCCCCCATTTCCTCCCCTCCCCCCTCTCTCTGTGCAGGGGCGGCAGTGCGGAGTCGGAGAACATGAAGTGGATTCTGGCCAACAGCAATGCGTGTCCGCGCTGCAGCGAGGTGACTTTTGTGTCGACTCAAAAGTCATCCCGTCCCGTCCCCACTCCACCCTCCCTCACCCATCCCCCATTCCCCTGTGTGCTGTGCATGTTCGGCAGTGCGGAGTCGGAGAACATGAAGTGGATTCTGGCCAACAGCAAGGCGTGTCCGCGGTGCCAGCGGCCGATCGAGAAGAACCACGGGTGCATGCACATGACGTGCTCGCCGCCCTGCCGCCACGAGTTCTGCTGGTTGTGCCTCGGCGACTGGAAAGAGCACGGCGAGGGCACCGGGGGGTTCTACGCCTGCAACCGCTACGAGACCAGCAAGAAGAAGGTCAGTTGGCGGGGAGGGGGGAGGAAGAGGGAGAGGAGGGGAAGGAGCACGGCGAGGGCACTGGGGGCTTCTACGCCTGCAACCGCTACGAGACCAGCAAGAAAAAGGTGGGTGGGGGAGGGGGAAGGGAGAAGGGAGAGGAGGTGGAGGAGCAGGGGGAGGATGGAGGGTGGCAGAGGGAGGTGGGGGAGGAGGCGGTGAAGGGTGGTGGTGGTGGCAGGACGATGGAGAAGGGACTGTCTGCGCTGGGGGGAAAAGCTTCTAGGGGCCTGTAGAACCTATGTATCTCTGCCTCCCTTCCCTTACGTGCAGGGTGATTACAACGTGGAGGAGGAGCGGCAGCAGCGAGCACAGCAGTCACTGGAGCGGAGTGGGTAGCATGTGGAGGAGCTTTGAGAAGCCTCAAGAACCAATCCCTTCTGTCCCCCCCCCCCTTTCCCTCCCTGCTCCCCCCACCTGCAGGGCGATTACAACGTGGAGGAGGAGCGGCGGCAGCGGGCGCGGCAGTCACTGGAGCGGTATCTGCACTACTTTGAACGCTGGGCCAGCAATGAACAGTCATGGCGCCGCGCCCAGGAGAGCCTCAAAGAGGTGAGGTTGGGGGGTGTGAGGAATAGAGTGGGGGGAGAGGAGGTGAGAGGCGGAGAAGAGAGGAGGTGGAGGGGGGAGAGAGTGAGGTGAGGAGGTGAGTGAAAGGTGGTGGTGAGGTGAGGTGATGGAGGAGGTTTGAGGGGGTGTGGAGGAGGCGTTTAGGCAGGCAGTCCATTCCAAGTTCCAACTCTGCGTGCCTTCGCTTCTTCTCCTCTGCCGCCTCTGGCCCATTTTGTTCTCGCTGGCAGGTGGAGCAGCACCAAGCGGAGCAGCTGAGGGGGCTGATGGGCCTGCCAGCAGCGCAGATGAAGTTCCTATCGGAGGCATGGCAGCAGATCATAGCGTGTCGCCGCATGCTCAAGTGGACCTACGCCTATGGCTTCTACCTCTCCGACCACCAGCCTGCTCGCCGCAACCTCTTCGAGTACCTCCAGGTCTGTCCCAGCGGCCTCCAGGCCAGTCGCAGGTTTCTCAGGTGCCTTCAGGTGAGGCCTCAGGTGTCTCCCGGTGAGACCTCAGATGCGTTCAAATGAGACCGCAGGTTCTTTCACTTGACACCCTGGATGCGTTGAGGTGCGTCAAGGTGTCTCCCAGCGGGCATGCCTGTGGTGGAGCAGGCATCACGGCCCATGCCAAGTCACCTTCCACCACTGTTGGGTGTGGCGGAGCAACGGCTTCACCTCACCCCACCAACCACTGCGCCCTCTCCTCGTAACTCCAACCCCCTCCCCTACCCAACCTCTCCTCCCCCTCCACTTGCTCCCCATGGGCATGGTGGCGCATGGAGCAGGGGCAGGCGGATGCGGCGTTGGGGTGGTTGCACAAGGCAGCAGAGAAGGATGTGGAGGCGTTCGTCCCCTCGCACTTCAAAGGCTCCTTCGATGCGCACGCCGCGCCCTCCCCCGTCGCCCTCTCCCCCCAGCACCGCCTCTCCGAGTTCCTTGCCTTCCGCTCCCACCTCACGCGCCTCACGGCCGTCACCCGCACCTTCTTCCATAACCTGGTAACCGCGCTCGAATCCGGGCTGTCGGAGATTCCCGAGGATGTGCCCAAGGGGGAGGGGGATGTGGGTGTGGGGTCGAGCAAGGGGGTGGGAGAGGGCGGAGGAGCGGAGGGTGGGGAGGGCGAGGAGGGGAGGAAGAGGCGGAGGAGTGGTAGTGGGGTGAACCATGTGCATTTTGCTGATGGGGGAATGGTGGGGGATGGGCGCGGGGGAGTGAGGATGCGCGTGGATGGGGGGATGGCGGGAGGGGTGAGCCTTGGTCTGGTGCAGGGGCAGGGGCAGGGGCAGGGGCAGGGGCAGGGAGCAGGTGGGGGAGGCGCAGCAGGGGAAGGGGAGTACTGGTCGTGCATGCACTGCACTTATGGCAATCCCACCAGCGCTGGCAGCACCGTGTGTCGCATGTGCCACCTGCCCCGCCACCCCCACTGATGCCCCTCACCTGCTCGCCTGGATTATGATTCATAGTGCATGCATGCTTGCGTGCTTGCATGTGTACAGGGTGCATGGGGCATGTTGTACACATGACATGGGAACGTTGTGGTGTCGCATGGCACATGCTGTGCAGGGCAGGGCAGGGCAGGGCGCATGTGGGAAGAAAGAACGTTGTGGTTGTATCAAAGAGCCGTGCCTCACTGGCAGTGGCAGTTGGAAAACATTGTAATGTACCATATGCCTTATAGCACTGTCAACAAGAGCAGGGAGATGCAATGGCGAGAAACCGAGTCACGTAGCAGGAGTGCTTAAAACCTGCGGGCCAAGAAGTTCAACCTTAGGAAGGTTGGTTGGGGGGCGAGCAATGCAACTGGCCTAGATTTTGGGTGTCAGGGCCAAACTCAACCGAAGTAAAGAATGTTGAACCAGTTGAGGCCTTCTTGGCCCTCCGGTTCTCAAGGCCCAAATTGAGGGCCATGCAATGCAGGGCAAGATTCGTAGATTTTTGAGACGTCTCAAAAATCTTCTTTCTACACCATGCAGGGCAAGACTAGTAATCTTGCACACTTCTCGTTTTTTGTGCTGTATATTGGCGAAAATCTGGTTACGGTAGTTTAGACCCAATCTGATTGGTCAAAGCAACACTCACTGCCAAAACATCAAGTTTCACTACTCTGCAATTTGGGACTCGAGGTCCCCAAATGCACGCTCCCCCCTGAAGCTTGCTGGCTCAGAAAGGCAAGTGTTGCGGCGAAATCGGACAAGTCAACAACCCCCACCCCCCAGCACCCAAACTTGCGCAAGATTACTAATCTTGAGCAATTTGGTCTTGGAGCTTTAAGGTGTGGGCAAGGGTAGCATTTGGCTCACTGAGGACCATCGACATAGCACCGCAGTTGTGGCCTAAGAACAAGTGCACAAGCACAGGGAACCTAGTGACGTGGATGCAAAGCTCTACTTGTGACTGAGCGAATCTAGCAACTGTCAAACACAACTCTCTTTGGTTGTTGGTGTGAAGCGTATGGGCATGAGGGCATGGCATGCGCAGAGTGGTAGAGGTGGTGGTGCTACATGGAGGTGTGGCGCAAGGCAGTGCCTGTGCCCCTGCTGCTGTGCTGTGCTGTGTGCACCCAGTGCTGCTTGCAGTACAGGCACACGGGAATCATGGGATGAGGGAGATGGGTGGGGTGGCGAGTGGCGAGGCAGTGGCACCTCGTAGGGTGATGCGAAGAGAGGCACCCACAAAGTGGAGTGGGGGGAGGCAAGGAAGCAGGTGGAGGAGTTGTGAGAGTGTGGGCGCAGAGTGAGTGCGAGTGGGGGTGGACCATGGACGGACGGGGGAGAGTGTGGAGGTGAATAGGTGGGAGGAGGGAGGTGAGGAGGTGGGGAGTGGAGGAGGCGAGGAGCGGCATCAGAGCAGGGCAGCCGCGAGCCAGGACTCAACGCGGTGGTCCTCCTGGTCCGACCCCGTGACGAGTGCGAGAAAGTCCTTGTACTCTATCTGCTTTGACCCCGCCTCCTCGCTGCCCTCTGCGCCCCCTGCGCCCTCTGCATGGATCGATCCTGCCCCGTTGCCCTGGATGCATCGAGGGGGGAAGAAGCACAGTGTGTGAGGAGACGCGAGGAACGGGGTGGCTGGCAGGGTGTGTCATGTGAGATGAGTATGGGTGAGGGGCATGAATAATGTGCAGAGTAGCGCCATGCCCACATATTCACCTTGTTACAATGGCACATGACAGCTCACATATTCAGCAGCGGTGGCAGTGGCAATGATGTCGCGCATCTCATCCAACGAGCCCATGCCCAGCCGGCAGCACACCGCTGCAAACTCCTCCACGCTCACCGCTCCCGACCCATCCGCATCCATCTCCTGGAAGGCCTCTTGGATGGCGGCGGCATGGCGGTCGCGGTGCAACACGGTGGTGGCTGCCACGAACTCGGCGTACTCGATGCTGCCACTGCCGTCCATGTCCACCTGGTGGAGTAGAGAGCACCAGAAAGACGATGGGGAGAATGGCATGTGGAGGGGTGCGGTCGCGGTGCAACACGGTGGTGGCTGCCACGAACTCGGCGTACTCTATGCTGCCACTGCCGTCCAAGTCCACCTGCATGGGTGCGCGCATGGGGGACGGGGCGGGGAAGAGGGCATGCTGTTGCATGGTGTGAGGGCATGCTGTTGCATGGTGTGAGGGCATGCTGTTGCATGGTGTGAGGGCATGCTGTTGCATGGTGTGAGGGCATGCTGTTGCATGGTGTGAGGGCATGCTGTTGCATGGTGTGAGGGCATGCTGTTGCATGGTCTGAGGGCATGTGCTTATGCTTGTGCGTGCGCGTGTGTGCAGCACGGTGGTGGCTGCCACGAACTCGGCGTACTCTATGCTGCCACTGCTGTTCATGTCCACCTGGTGGAGTAGAGGGCACCAGAAAGATCATGGGGAGAGTGGCATGTGGAGAGGTGCGAGGGCAAGTGCGAGAGAACCGTGGTGGCCGCGACAAACACCGCGTACTCTATGCTGCCACTGCCATCCACGTCCACCTGCATGGGTGCATGCCCGCACGCACAGAGCCAAGGCCGATGCCATGCGGAGAGGGAGAAGGGAAGGGTGTGCTTCTGCCATGTGTAAAGAGTAGAGGGCACCAGAATAATCATGGGGAGAGTGGCATGTGGAGAGGTGCGAGGGCAAGTTCATGTACACATGGTTATGTGATTGTGCATGCTCAAGTTAGTGTGTGCGGCTGCTAGGCTGCTAGGCTGCTAGGCTGCTAGGCTGCTAGGCTGCTAGGCTGCTAGGCTGCTAGGCTGCTAGGCTGTTAGGCTGCTAGGCTGCTAGGCTGCATGTGCGGCAACAAGCATGAAGTCAAAGATGCGGCGGATGTCATCGTCACTCAGCGTCGCCCCCACGCTGCGCAGGGCAGCTGTGAGTGTGTGAGGCAGAGGCTGTGAGTGTGAGGCAGAGGCTGTGAGTGTGAGGCAGAGGCTGTGAGTGTGAGGCAGAGGCTGTGAGTGTGAGGCTGAGGCTGTGAGTGTGAGGCTGAGGCTGTGAGTGTGAGGCTGAGGCTGTGAGTGTGAGGCTGAGGCTGTGAGTGTGAGGCAGAACGCACGAAGGCAAAGATGCGGCGGATGTCATCTTCACTGAGGGCCGCCCCCACGCTGCGCAGGGCGGCAGTGAGATCCGCCAGGCTGAGCGCGCCCCCCTGGTCCGCGCCCACCGCACTGAACACCGCCCTCAGCTCCCTCTCCTGCTCCTCCGGCATGTGCCGTGTTGTTACCTTTGGAGGGGGTGGGGGTGGAGGCGTGAGGGTGGAGGGTGGATAGGATGGGCGGATGAGGTGCAGAAGGATGGATGGATGGGCATGGCAAGGAAGAGAGACGAGGTGAGGGCGGGGATGGGGATAGGCACGACGGGAACGCACAGGTGCGTGCACCGTGGGAAGTGCAGAGTGGAGGAGGGGTGTGGGTGTGGGGCATGGGGCAGCGTGCAGGGGTGAGGGGCGGGACTGACGAGGAGGGCGAGGTGGCGCAGTTTGGACATGGCGCTGAGGCGCTTCATGCGCGGCAGCATGATGCTCTCCAATGGCCGCTCCACCACCTCCTGCCCACATATCCATGGGTCCCCTGCTCCCATGGCACGATGTGGGGTGGGGTGGGGTGGCACACAAACGCATAAAAGCAGGGAGCGCATTGAGGGAGTGGGAGTGAGTGAGAAGTGCCCATGGGGGTTGATGCGTAATAGAGCACAGGCAAGGCCAGAACAGCTGCAAGCTGTGCCACCGCCCACCGTCCACCCACGTCCCACAGCCCATCCACGGCCCACGCGTAGCACTAATCTCACTTACCCAGCAGCTGCTGAGCACTGGGGCGCTTGGAGGGGTCGCGGTGGAGCATGCAGGAGAGCAGTGCCTTGGCGCCTGGCGAGATGAGCGGCCACGGATGCACCGACAGGTCCAATGGCGCCGTGCGGATGGCCTCAAATATCGCCAGCACCGAGTCTGATTGTGTGGGGGAGGTGATGTGGGTTGGGGGTGTGGGGGTGTGTGGGGAGGGAGGAGGGGAGGGGGGTAGGACGTGCACTAGAGGGTCAGGCAAAGGGGTTGGTGGTGGGTGGGGTGGGAGAAGTGACGAGACGAGGTGCGGTACAAATGGGTGACAGGAGGCAAGAGAGGGATGCAGGTGGGCATGGAAAAATGGGGCAGACTGAGAAGAGGTAGCAGGGAATGGGGGCAGCAAGGCAGGGGGCCGAGGGGAGGGGGCCACAGAGCAGGACCTCCTTGGAAGGGCGGCGTGCCGGCGAGCAGCGTGTGCAGCATGATGCCAGCGCTCCACACGTCACAGCCATGCGAGTAGCGCTCCCCCAGCACCTCCGGTGCCATGTACATGGGACTGCCTGCCATCGCCTCTAGCTCCTCTCCTGCTCGCAGCACAGATGGGCGCGCAGGACCAAAGAGGGCTGAGTGTGGGAACAGGAAATGAGACAGGAAGGCAGTGGCATTGGGGACAGTGAGAGGGCCCGGGGCGTGCCTGCGAACCATACCTGGTTGGCAGAAGGCGGCGGAGCCGAAGTCAATGGCTTTGAGCGTGGCGTGGTCTGACTGGTCGGAGAGCAGGAAGTTGCCGAGCTTGACGTCCCGGTGCACTATGCCCAGCGCGTGGCACGCCCGCACCACCTCCAGCACCACACGCATTATCGCTGCTGCTGCTCGCTCGCTGTACTCGCCCTGGGGAGGGGGTAGGGGAGGGGGGAAAGTCTAGTTTTGAGGCGCCTGAAAGCCGAGCTTCACGTCCCGGTGCACTATGCCCAGCGCATGGCACGCCCGCACCACCTCCAGCACCACGCGCATTATGCCCGCCGCCGCCCGCTCGCTGTACTCGCCCTGGGCGCGGGGAAGGGATGAAGGAGGGGGGGGAGAGCAGGAAGTTGCCGAGCTTCACGTCCCGGTGCACTATGCCCAGCGCATGGCACGCCCGCACCACCTCCAACACCACCCGCATTATTGCTGCCGCCGCCCGCTCGCTGTACTCGCCCTGGGGAGGGGGGGGTGGTAGGAGGAGGGGGGACAGAGGTAAGGGCGAAGAGGAGAGGGCAGGCGTGAGGGGAGGCAGAGAGCGGTGCGGGTTCAGTGCGGTAGCGGGAGGAGGTTGCGGCAAACACGGGGCTTGACATGAGAGCGGGCAGGGGAAGTGGAATGGGCGGCCTGCAGCACATGAGCGGGCAGGGGAAGTGGAATGGGCGGCCTGCAGCACATGAGCGGGCAGGGGAAGTGGAATGGGCTGCCTGCAGCACATGAGCGGGGGAGCATGAGAGCGCACCTGCTGAGCGATGTGGTGGGTGAGCGAGCCCCCTTGGCACAGCTCCATGACTATGTGCACGGCCGCCTGGTCCTCAAACACGCCCTCCATTCGCACCACGTTCGCATGCCCTCGCAGCATGCCCAACACCTGCACCTGTAGGGGGGGGGGAAGGGGTAGAGATGGGGGGAAGAGGAAGGAATGAGGGGGGAAGAGAGGGGGAAGGGATAGGGGAGCAAAGGGGAATGGAGGGAGAGGAGGGAGGGGAGGGAGGGCGTGTGTGAGGCAGGGAAGCCGAGTCCGCTGCACTTCAATGCCCAAACGCCCCCTGTTCCTGATTCTCCACCACCTTTCAACCAACCCCCTCCCCCGCCCTTTCCCTTCTTTCCCCTTCCCCCCCCCCTGCGAGCGCACCTCGCGCTGCACGTCCCTGGCGGTGCCTTCGGAGTGGATGGTCTTTTTGAGAATGCTCTTAACGGCCAGCCGTTCGCCCGTGTGGCGGTGCGAGCACGCGCTGATCACGCCGCTCTGCCCGCGCCCGATGAATCCGCCCAGCTCGTACAGCTGTTCCAACTTCACCGCGCTGTACCGCTTCCCCGTGATCGTCCCCACGTGGTCGCTGCGCGCCGTGCCGTCCGCCGGCGGCCAGCCGTCCCCGCGCCACGACGAGTCCGCGGAGGCATAGCCGCTGGGGGAGCGGCGCGCGCGGGGGAAGGAGATGGGGAAGGCGGAGGAGAGGAACGACGACGCTGACCGGTTGCGGTGCCGGCTGGCGCGGCTGCCGGTTAGGTTGCCGGCGTCGTCTGCCGGTCGTGTGACGGCGCGGGCGAGTCGCGAGGGGAGGGAGAGGATGCGCGAGGCGAGGCGGTAGGCGGAGCGGCGGGCGGACGGGGGAGCGGAGTGATTGGAGGCGTTGGCGGAGTGGGGACGGGTCATCGCATGGCGGGCGGAGAGAGCGGGGAAGGGGACGCGGGGTGATAAGCTGCGCGCGATGCGCCGAGGAGGAATAAGCGGTAGATGAAGGGTTGGCGGTCGTACAATCCCTACGGTCGAGAACGGGCGAGTGGAAGGTGGTTAATGGACTAATGCGGCACGGGGCAGCGTCTGCCGATCACCGCACCGCGCTAACTCACTCTAGCTCTCTACCAAATTCCGCCCACCCTATCACGCTTCCGCGCGCTGTTATGCCAGTCGCGGACATGGCGGGCGCACGGGCTTGGCGGCATGCGTCTGCACTGCGCGCAGCCAACAGCCGGAGTCGTTGCGGCAGCCTCGCTGTGAGAAGCGCGCCGCGAACGGGGCACGCGACGACTGATTGGCGACGAGAATGGCGTGACGGGTCGTGGAATGCGGAATGCTGGTGCGATTATTGCCTAGAGCCGCCGAAGTGTGCGTTGAGTGTGTGTATTCGCTCGTCGCTACTACTGTTATCGATTTCAACGTGATTCTCAGTGAAGCGTCTCCTTGTGGGCTGCTGCAACGCAACTGCTAGAGAAGGTGAGGCGAGAGGGATCAAAAGCGGACTGCACGGTGACTCGTCTTGAGTCTTGACTCTCCCGTCCCCGACTAGAAACACCCACCACTGCGCTTCTGGCATTATTTAGCTGTACATTATGCAATACGATTTCAAGAAGGTAAAACGCAAAGCTGAGAGATAGTGGCACTGACCTTAGAAACGCCCATTTGGAATGCCACAACCCAATGGCTTTGCTTCACAACTAAATAAAAGCCTTCATTGAGCGGGGCACCCACAGGCAGCACCGATGAAAAATCTGCCATGGGGAGAAGCAGAGCACAGCACGCGGGCCCAAGCAGAGAACTACTAGGCTCCTGCAGGTTGCGTGGGTACACCTGCTGCACTAGCAGCAGCCTCAGCTGCAGCCGCTGCCGCAGCCGCCGCTGCCGCAGTGGCTGTTTTCGGAACAGAAGAAGCCGCAGCACCATCACCCGCCACAGCACCATCACCCGCCACAGCAACAGCGGCAACACCAGCCGTAGCAGCAGCAGCAGCACCGGCCTTGTTCCTGGCAGCTTCCAACACAGCCTTCACCTGTGCGCCGGTGAGCGTCTCCCTCTCTAACAACGCACCCGCCAGTGCATGCAACTCCGCCTCGTGCTTCACCAGGATGGCCCGTGCGTTGTCATGCGCGCGCTGCAGCAGCGCACGCACCTCCCTCTCAATGGTCAGCCGTGTCTCCGTGCTCATGGACCGCCCGTCGTCCTCGTAATCATGCGCCACCACGCCCACCGCCTCGCTCATCCCATACTTGGTCACCATCTCCCTGGCAAGCCTCGTCGCCTGGACTATATCACTTGACGCACCGGAAGTCACCTCCCCCGGGCCGAACACTAGCTCTTCAGCCACGCGGCCCCCCATGCACACATCCAGCCGGGCCAGCATCTGCGTGCGCGACACGCTCACCTCGTCTGTCTCCGGCAGCTGAGCCACCATCCCCAGCGCCACGCCCCGCGGCACGATGGTGGCCTTGTGCACGGGGTGCGCGCCGGCTGTGTGCACGGCCACCAGAGCGTGCCCGCCCTCGTGGTACGCGGTGAGTCGCCTTGTCTGCGGGGAAATCACGGCGGACTTGCGCTCAGCGCCCATGAGGATGCGGTCCTTGGCGTGCTCCAGGTGGGCTAGTCCCACCGCGCGCTGCCCCTCCATGGCTGCCCGTAGTGCCGCCACGTTGACCAGGTTGGCCAGGTCCGCCCCGCTGAAACCTGGTGTGCCGCGCGCTATCACCGACACATCCACGTCGTCTGCTCGGGGGATCTGGAGGGGGGAGGGGGGGAGGAGGGTGCTATCAGCGGGGAGATGACAGCGGACTTGCGTTCGGCGCCCATGAGGATGCGATCCTTGGCGTGCTCCAGGTGGGCTAGTCCCACCGCGCGCTGCCCCTCCATGGCTGCCCGTAGTGCCGCCACGTTGACCAGGTTGGCCAGGTCCGCCCCGCTGAAACCTGGCGTGCCGCGCGCTATCACCGACACATCCACGTCGTCTGCTCGGGGGATCTGGAGGGGGGAGGGGGGGAGGAGGGTGCTATCAGCGGGGAGATGACAGCGGACTTGCGTTCGGCGCCCATGAGGATGCGATCCTTGGCGTGCTCCAGGTGGGCTAGTCCCATCGCGCGCTGCCCCTCCATGGCTGCCCGTAGTGCCGCCACGTTGACCAGGTTGGCCAGGTCCGCCCCGCTGAAACCTGGTGTGCCGCGCGCTATCACTGACACGTCTACGTCCTCTGCTCGGGGGATCTGGGAAAGAAGGGAAGGGGGAGGAGAGGTGTGATGGGGTTGGACTTGCGTTCGGCGCCCGTGAGGATGCGGTCCTTGGCGTGCTCCAGGTGGGCGAGGCCCACTGCTCGCTGCCCCTCCGTGGCCGCTCGTAGAGCCGCCACGTTGACCAGGTTGGCCAGGTCCGCCCCGCTGAAGCCTGGTGTGCCGCGCGCTATCACTGACACGTCTACGTCGTCTGCTCGTGGGATCTGGGAGGGGATCAAGGAAAAAGGGGCGGAGGGGCGTAATGGGGTTGGGGAATTGAGGAGAGTGAGAGGGAGGAAATGAAGGTACACATAGGCAGCTGAATGTGCTGCAGCACACTACCGTACACCCATGGATGAACACCCATGCACACAGCACCTACTCCCACCGCACTGCACCTTGCGCAAATGATGCTCCAAAATCTGCCGCCGCCCCTCCACATCCGGGTTCGGCACGACCACATGGCGGTCAAACCGGCCCGGGCGCACGAGCGCCTTATCCAGACTCTCCGGGAAGTTGGTAGCGGCCACCACAATCACCCCCTGGTTCTGCTTAAAGCCATCCAACTCCACCAGCAGCTGATTCAGAGTCATTTTCATGTACTGCTGGTCCTTGGGGTTGCGGCTCCCGCCGATGGCGTCGATTTCGTCGAGAAACACGATGCAAGGCGCGGCTTTCTTGGCGGCGGCGAAGAGCTCGCGCACGCGGCGCGCCCCGACGCCGACAAACATCTCCTCGAACTCGGATCCAGAGGCGTAGAAGAAGGGCACGCCCGCCTCGCCCGCTATGGCCCGCGCTAGCATTGTTTTGCCTGTGCCTGGTGGGCCCACCAGTAACACTCCCTTGGGTAGCTTGCCTCCCAGGCGCGTGAATCGCTGTGTGTGGGGGAAAGGGATGCAGGGAAGGGGCCGAAAGGGGGAGGTGGCAGGGAAGGTGAGATACAAGGCGTGAGGAGGTGGGAAAGGATAGGGAGGTGGGACAGCGGAGGAGTAGGAGCATATCGACTCGGCAAAGAAGGAAGACTGGTTAAAAATGGAGGAGTGAGGGGCCTTGGGGTGTTGCAGGAATTGCAAGAGGCGAGGCAGCAGCGGGGAAAGTAAGGCATGATGAGGGGTTGGAAAGTAAGGCATGATGAGGGGTTGGACAGTAAGGCATGATGAGGGGTTGGACAGTAAGGCATGATGAGGGGTTGGAAAGTAAGGCATGATGAGGGGTTGGACAGTAAGGCATGATGAGGGGTTGGACAGTAAGGCATGATGAGGGGTTGGACAGTAAGGCATGATGAGGGGTTGGACAGTAAGGCATGATGAGGGGTTGGACAGTAAGGCATGATGAGGGGTTGGAGCAACTGAACTGACATGGAGCACAGCACAGAGGGGAGCGGAGAGTGAGTGGTGACGCACCTTGGGATCTCTGAGGTAGTGCACGATCTCTTCGAGCTCCGCCTTGGCCTCATCCACGCCCTTCACATCGCTGAACCTCGTGTCACTCTCCGCTGCCGGCTGCACCTCCTCGTTCAACCCCAACCCTGCCGCCCACGGGGAGAGAGAGGGGGAGGGGGGTGGGATTTGGAGGGAGGAGGGGGCCAGTGCGGATGTGAGAAGGAGGGATGGATGGAGGGGGTGAGGGGGGATGAAAGAGAGGCATGGCGAGGCAGGTGGTAACCAATCAATTCGGGCTCATCGCAAAGAGGGTATGCAGCGTGCCAATCACACTCACATCTACCCACCCCATCACCCCTCCAGACTCACGTACCCCACCCCCTCGTTCCCCCTTCCCCAACCCCCCACTGACAACGCCCCACGTCGCGCTCGCATAGATGGCCCAGAGCGTGCCAAGGCAAACCGCATCCACCCATCCCATCACCCCGCCACCTTCTCCCCCCCCCCCCCCTCCTCTCACCGCGCCCCACATCGCGCTCGCGGGCGATGGCCCAGAGTGCGCCGAGCACGAGGGCAGCCGTGCCCAGCGACCTGAGCGCGCGCTACGCGTGCCCGCGCGCGCCCTCGCTGGCCACCATGTGCAGCGGCGCGCTCGCCGTCCCCAGCGCGCCCTCCACCGCCACCGCGCCCACCGCCCCGGGCAGGGGCGCGCGCATGGACGACAGGGGCGCGGAGGAGGGGGGGAAGGGGGAGGCGGAGCGCGCAGCGCCTGCAGGCGGGGAATGGAGCGGGTTTGGGTTGGAAGGGGACAGGGGGGAAGTGAGGGAGGCGGGAGAATGGGTTGAGGGTGTGAAGGGCAGGCAGTAGGAAGGAAGGAACCATGAGGCATGGGGCACGGGCCATGGTGTGTGGTGAGGCAACACGCGGAGTGGGGGACGGACAGCCAAGTGGAGGAGGGGCGCGGGGAGTGGAGGAGAGGCGCGCGGTACCTACCTCGCTGCAGCGTGGCGAGCAGCGCGCTGCCGTCGAGGCGGTCAACAGCCACCAGCGCGCGCACGTACTCCGCCAGCGCGCCCGGCGCGGCCTGCAGCTGCGCGCTCGCCTCAAACGCGCGGATCGCCTCCTCCGGGCTGTGCCGCGCCATCTCCGCCAGCCACGCCACCTGCTCCCGCTCCCCCGCTCCCGCCCTCCGCGCCGCTGCCGCCCGCCCCCAGCCGCCCGTGCTGGCGCTGCCTCCGCCGAAGGCGCTTGGGTAGGCTGCGGCGGGGCGTGCGGAGGTGAAGTGGCGCAGCGCGACGCGGAGCAGGGACGGGTCCGCTTCACCGCGCGCGCTGCTGCATGGCTGCCAGCTGACCCCCGCCCGCACGCCCTCGCCTCCTGCGCCTCCCCCTGCCCCGCACGCACTCCGCGCAGCTGCTCTTCCCCCAAGCGCAGAAGCCGCCCCCCGCCCGACCTGCTTGGCGCGCTCTTGCGCAGCTCGTGCGCCCTTCGGGTGGGGGGGGCAACAGGAGGGGTACGGCAGGGTTCGTCGTGTTGAGAAGAGGCGGAGAACAGGGAGCGTTTGGTGACGTGGGAGTCGGAGAGGGAGGAAGGGGGGGCAGGGGTAAAGAGGAACGAAGGAGGAAAACGGTAAGGAGCAAACGACGGGGCAGCGGACGGAGACGAAAGAGGCGGTTCGATAAGAGGAGAGAGGTGCTGACAAAGAGGAGAGATAGGGGAAGGGAGGAGAGGAGAGGGTGGCAGGGCGCTGACCACTCTATGCATGGGCGCGCGTTGACGGCCGACGAGCGACAAAGGCTGACGGAACTACGACGGTGACGGCGAAGCTGACGGAAGATACGTCTTCGGATTCAGGCGATTGACGGAAAGATGAACGTGAGGGTGGGCGGAAGAGAGCACGTGCGCCCGAGGCGTGGTGCGGTGCAATAGCGCGAATCGCGGGGAGTAGCGGAATTGGGCGATATAGATCGTAAGCGTGGACTAATTTCAGTGTTGCGATGCGAGGCGGTTATGTGCCTGGTAGCAGTGCGGTCACGTCAACGATCAACGAGCGTCTTGGTTGTGCACGAGGCAGATGCGAGTGGCGTGGTGTGTTGGTGCAGCACAAGAGCACGAGTGCCAGTCTGTGCAGCCTTCAAAATTTGGGGGAGGCGTGTTTGGTGAGCAAAGGTGTTGACGTGCTCGGTTCGCCACTGGTAACCGGCCTACTTGTACTGTGCTGTGCGACATGAGGCTCGCGAAAGGTTGATCTTCAGGGTCGCACCTTTACGGCGGTGGTTTGGTAGGGTCAAATAAAACTACAGTACGTTTAAGTGCGGTATGGGGTCGAATTTTCACCCTGCCTTACACCATTTTCTCACGGTACAAGTAGGATCAAGTGTGTATTTTCGAACCCCACAACAGCGTGGAGCGAGTAGCGAAGTCTTCAATAACGGGTTCACGGCACATGAGAGCATTCAATACTTACTAGACAACTCCACCATCACTCCACCTCTGCCCTCGCCGCGTTTGTCGCCCGCATTCCGCGCGCCATGTCCGCGCTTCCCCTCGCCCGCGCGCACCAGCTTTCCGCGCCTCTCATTCCGCCATGCCTTTCGCCTCCCCCATATCTCCGCTTTGCCTCCCTACCGCCGCTCTCCGCCATCCCCGCGAGTCCGCTCTGCCGTCGGCGCACTCCGCTCGCCCCTCTCCGCGGGGCGGCCAGGCGGCGCGCCATCGCGCTGAGGGCGCAGGCGGCGGCAGGCGCGGATGAGGGGAAGGAGTCGAGGGGCGGGGGCGGGGGCGAGCGAAGTGGGGGGGGCGTGAAGCGCGTGGTGGTGCTGGGCGGGAGCGGGCGCGTGGGGCGGTCGACGGCCGTGGCGCTGGCGGCGCTGGCGGCGTCCGACGATGAGGCGACGCGCGCGGGGTTCCAACTGGAGCTCATCATCAGCGGGCGCAACAGGTGCGCGCCCGCCCAGAATGGCGCACTCCTTGCGCGGAGCACCACCGTTGCTGCTTCATCGCTGCGTGTGTGCTTGCCTCGCTGCGTGCCGCCATGTGTTTCGCTCACTCCCATCGCCACTCATTCCTTCTGCTCTGCCCTCCTCTCTCGTCGTCCATCCACCCCACCCACCCACCACCCTCCCCTGCGTGCGTGCATGTGCGCGCGCATCTGTGTCTCAACGGAGGCGAGGCAGGGGGAGGGGCGAGGCGGTGTGTGAGGAGGTGAGGGCGGCAGCGGGGGCGGCAGGGAGTGCGACGTTCATAGAGTGTGACATCACCGACACCCCTGCACTTGACGCCCTCCTCACAGGTCGCCCTCACAGCCTCGGGTCTCGCATGTCCCATGGACCACGCTGTGCATCCCATGCCATTCCGTGCCATTTTCTGCCACTCTTTGCCACTGCCGCTGCTGCTGCCTCGCCCTCTCCCATCCTTCCTCATTCTCCCGTGCCTCTCCCCATTCTTTAACCCTCAGCCCCCCAACCGACCTGCATCACCTCCTACTCTCTCCATCACCTTTCCCCCCTTGCTCCCCCGCCCCTCCCTCCGCCTGCTCACAGGAGCCGACCTGGTGGTCCACTGTGCGGGGCCCTTCCAGCAAGAACCGAACTGCACCGTTCTGGAAGCAGCCATCCGCACCAAGGTGGGCTGCCTGCCTCTCAGGCCTCTTCCCCCTCTCTCCTCTCACACCCGCACCGCCCTCCACACGCAAAGCAGCGCCGCTCCCTCGCTCTGCCCATCACCCGCCCCATGCTGTCAAGTTGCCATTGTGCTTCGGTGCATAACCCCCTCCTGTCCCTCTCTTCTTCCCCTCCCTCCCCCTCCCCTCCCCCAGACGCCCTACGTGGACGTGTGTGACGGCGTGGCGTTCGCTGGGAACGCGCGGGAGAGAAGATTCGACGTGCCTCCTTTCTTGCCCTCTCCCCACTCTCCCAATAACCCCCCCTCCCCCCCAGACGCCCTACGTGGACGTGTGTGACGACGTGGCGTTCGCTGGGAACGCGCGCTCGCTGCACGGGGCTGCAGTGGCGGCGGGTGTGCCGGCCATCACCACGGCCGGCATCTACCCGGGCGTCAGCAACTGTCAGTGCGCTCAGGGAGGCGGGCGGGAGTGAGATGTGCAGCAAGTGGGATGTTGGGGGATACATGGGTTTGGGGAGGGCAAAGAGGGGAGAGCTGCCGTGAGGTGTTGTGGGGGAGACCACGGTTTGTGTGTCTCATGCTCCATGCTGCTTTGTTGCCACGCTGCATGCCGGGTCCATCCATCTCAAGGCCAACGTGCCATTCCCTGCTCTCCTGTGTCTCCTCTCCGCAGTGATGGCAGCAGAGCTGGTGCGGCTGGCGGGGGAGGAGGGGGCGCGCATGGAGGAGCAACAAGGCCAGCAGCAGGCCGCCCTTGGCCTTCGACCAAAGAGCCTGCGGTGCAACCACTCTCTCTCTCACTCACACGCTCACTCACTCACTCACCGTCTCACTCACTCTTGCACTCACATGCCCATTCACTCACTCACTCACTCACTCACTCACTCACCTGCACCCACCAAGCTCCAACTTTATCATGTCGTGTCGTTTCTCCGCACCTGTCTCCACTCCTGCACCGTCGCACTCCCTCCACCCACTCCCCTCCCCCATGCACTCCCCTTCTCTTCTCATCCGCCCCACACAAAACCTCCCCCCCCCTCTCCCCAGCTTCTCGTATTTCACGGCGGGCACGGGAGGGGCGGGTCCCACCATCCTGACCACGAGCCTGCTGCTGCTGGGCGAGCCTGCCACGGCCTTCAAGGACGGTGAGGTGGAGGTGATGGGGGTGTAGGGGGAAGTGAGAAAAGGATGAGGGGCGTGCTTCGAAGAGCGTGGAGGATATGGGTCTAGAAACGGGTCCCACCATCCTGACCACGAGTCTGCTGCTGCTGGACGAGCCTGCCATGGCCTTTAAAGACGGTGGGGTGGGGAGATGGGGTTGTAGGGGGAAGAGATGGGGCGAGGGGGAAGAGATGGGGCGAGGGGGAAGTGAATGGGGGATGAGAGTGAAGAAGGTGGAGGAATGGGTGGAGTGGATGTGGGGAGTGAAGTGTGGAGGGGAGAGAGTGGGATGGAAGGAGGGAACCAGAGAGTTGCTCTCTTCTTCATTCCCCGCCGCCGCTTCTTCCCCCTGCTCGCCGTTGTCTCCCCGCTGTGGTGCCTCACTCGCCCCGCACCCTCCTCCCCTACCCTCCTCTCCCCTCTCCCCCTTCCCTCTCCTTGCCAGGTCAGCGCCTGCAGCTGCCAGCATACAGTCGGCAGCGCCTGGTGGACTTTGGGCCGGGCGTGGGGGAGAGAAGCACGTACCTGCTGTGAGTGAGGGTGTGCCTTGCCTTTCCATACCATGCCATGCCATACCTTGCCATGCTATGAGTGTGCTGCACATGTGCCCACAGCCGCTGTCGTCATTGCTCCTTCGCCTCTGTCCTCGTCTCTCTGCCCTCCTCCCATTCCTGCCCACTCCCACCCCCCATACAGCAACCTACCAGAGGTGGTGTCAGCGCACGAGGTGCTGGGGGTGCCCACGGTGTCGGCGCGCTTTGGCACGGCGCCACACATGTGGAACTGGGGCATGCAGCTGCTGCACGCTCTGCTGCCTCAGGTGCGTGCCCTGCTCCCTGCTTCTCCGCCCAGCTGCCTCAGGTGCGTGCCCTGCTCCCTGCTTCTCCGCCCAGCTGCCTCAGGTGCGTGCCCTGCTCCCTGCTTCTCCGCCCAGCTGCCTCAGGTGCGTGCCCTGCTCCCTGCTTCTCCGCCCAGCTGCCTCAGGTGCGTGCCCTGCTCCCTGCTTCTCCGCCCAGCTGCCTCAGGTGCGTGCCCTGCTCCCTGCTTCTCCGCCCAGCTGCCTCAGGTGCGTGCCCTGCTCCCTGCTTCTCCGCCCAGCTGCCTCAGGTGCGTGCCCTGCTCCCTGCTTCTCCGCCCAGCTGCCTCAGGTGCGTGCCCTGCTCCCTGCTTCTCCGCCCAGCTGCCTCAGGTGCGTGCCCTGCTCCCTGCTTCTCCGCCCAGCTGCCTCAGGTGCGTGCCCTGCTCCCTGCTTCTCCGCCCAGCTGCCTCAGGTGCGTGCCCTGCTCCCTGCTTCTCCGCCCAGCTGCCTCAGGTGCGTGCCCTGCTCCCTGCTTCTCCGCCCAGCTGCCTCAGGTGCGTGCCCTGCTCCCTGCTTCTCCGCCCAGCTGCCTCAGGTGCGTGCCCTGCTCCCTGCTTCTCCGCCCAGCTGCCTCAGGTGCGTGCCCTGCTCCCTGCTTCTCCGCCCAGCTGCCTCAGGTGCGTGCCCTGCTCCCTGCTTCTCCGCCCAGCTGCCTCAGGTGCGTGCCCTGCTCCCTGCTTCTCCGCCCAGCTGCCTCAGGTGCGTGCCCTGCTCCCTGCTTCTCCGCCCAGCTGCCTCAGGTGCGTGCCCTGCTCCCTGCTTCTCCGCCCAGCTGCCTCAGGTGCGTGCCCTGCTCCCTGCTTCTCCGCCCAGCTGCCTCAGGTGCGTGCCCTGCTCCCTGCTTCTCCGCCCAGCTGCCTCAGGTGCGTGCCCTGCTCCCTGCTTCTCCGCCCAGCTGCCTCAGGTGCGTGCCCTGCTCCCTGCTTCTCCGCCCAGCTGCCTCAGGTGCGTGCCCTGCTCCCTGCTTCTCCGCCCAGCTGCCTCAGGTGCGTGCCCTGCTCCCTGCTTCTCCGCCCAGCTGCCTCAGGTGCGTGCCCTGCTCCCTGCTTCTCCGCCCAGCTGCCTCAGGTGCGTGCCCTGCTCCCTGCTTCTCCGCCCAGCTGCCTCAGGTGCGTGCCCTGCTCCCTGCTTCTCCGCCCAGCTGCCTCAGGTGCGTGCCCTGCTCCCTGCTTCTCCGCCCAGCTGCCTCAGGTGCGTGCCCTGCTCCCTGCTTCTCCGCCCAGCTGCCTCAGGTGCGTGCCCTGCTCCCTGCTTCTCCGCCCAGCTGCCTCAGGTGCGTGCCCTGCTCCCTGCTTCTCCGCCCAGCTGCCTCAGGTGCGTGCCCTGCTCCCTGCTTCTCCGCCCAGCTGCCTCAGGTGCGTGCCCTGCTCCCTGCTTCTCCGCCCAGCTGCCTCAGGTGCGTGCCCTGCTCCCTGCTTCTCCGCCCAGCTGCCTCAGGTGCGTGCCCTGCTCCCTGCTTCTCCGCCCAGCTGCCTCAGGTGCGTGCCCTGCTCCCTGCTTCTCCGCCCAGCTGCCTCAGGTGCGTGCCCTGCTCCCTGCTTCTCCGCCCAGCTGCCTCAGGTGCGTGCCCTGCTCCCTGCTTCTCCGCCCAGCTGCCTCAGGTGCGTGCCCTGCTCCCTGCTTCTCCGCCCAGCTGCCTCAGGTGCGTGCCCTGCTCCCTGCTTCTCCGCCCAGCTGCCTCAGGTGCGTGCCCTGCTCCCTGCTTCTCCGCCCAGCTGCCTCAGGTGCGTGCCCTGCTCCCTGCTTCTCCGCCCAGCTGCCTCAGGTGCGTGCCCTGCTCCCTGCTTCTCCGCCCAGCTGCCTCAGGTGCGTGCCCTGCTCCCTGCTTCTCCGCCCAGCTGCCTCAGGTGCGTGCCCTGCTCCCTGCTTCTCCGCCCAGCTGCCTCAGGTGCGTGCCCTGCTCCCTGCTTCTCCGCCCAGCTGCCTCAGGTGCGTGCCCTGCTCCCTGCTTCTCCGCCCAGCTGCCTCAGGTGCGTGCCCTGCTCCCTGCTTCTCCGCCCAGCTGCCTCAGGTGCGTGCCCTGCTCCCTGCTTCTCCGCCCAGCTGCCTCAGGTGCGTGCCCTGCTCCCTGCTTCTCCGCCCAGCTGCCTCAGGTGCGTGCCCTGCTCCCTGCTTCTCCGCCCAGCTGCCTCAGGTGCGTGCCCTGCTCCCTGCTTCTCCGCCCAGCTGCCTCAGGTGCGTGCCCTGCTCCCTGCTTCTCCGCCCAGCTGCCTCAGGTGCGTGCCCTGCTCCCTGCTTCTCCGCCCAGCTGCCTCAGGTGCGTGCCCTGCTCCCTGCTTCTCCGCCCAGCTGCCTCAGGTGCGTGCCCTGCTCCCTGCTTCTCCGCCCAGCTGCCTCAGGTGCGTGCCCTGCTCCCTGCTTCTCCGCCCAGCTGCCTCAGGTGCGTGCCCTGCTCCCTGCTTCTCCGCCCAGCTGCCTCAGGTGCGTGCCCTGCTCCCTGCTTCTCCGCCCAGCTGCCTCAGGTGCGTGCCCTGCTCCCTGCTTCTCCGCCCAGCTGCCTCAGGTGCGTGCCCTGCTCCCTGCTTCTCCGCCCAGCTGCCTCAGGTGCGTGCCCTGCTCCCTGCTTCTCCGCCCAGCTGCCTCAGGTGCGTGCCCTGCTCCCTGCTTCTCCGCCCAGCTGCCTCAGGTGCGTGCCCTGCTCCCTGCTTCTCCGCCCAGCTGCCTCAGGTGCGTGCCCTGCTCCCTGCTTCTCCGCCCAGCTGCCTCAGGTGCGTGCCCTGCTCCCTGCTTCTCCGCCCAGCTGCCTCAGGTGCGTGCCCTGCTCCCTGCTTCTCCGCCCAGCTGCCTCAGGTGCGTGCCCTGCTCCCTGCTTCTCCGCCCAGCTGCCTCAGGTGCGTGCCCTGCTCCCTGCTTCTCCGCCCAGCTGCCTCAGGTGCGTGCCCTGCTCCCTGCTTCTCCGCCCAGCTGCCTCAGGTGCGTGCCCTGCTCCCTGCTTCTCCGCCCAGCTGCCTCAGGTGCGTGCCCTGCTCCCTGCTTCTCCGCCCAGCTGCCTCAGGTGCGTGCCCTGCTCCCTGCTTCTCCGCCCAGCTGCCTCAGGTGCGTGCCCTGCTCCCTGCTTCTCCGCCCAGCTGCCTCAGGTGCGTGCCCTGCTCCCTGCTTCTCCGCCCAGCTGCCTCAGGTGCGTGCCCTGCTCCCTGCTTCTCCGCCCAGCTGCCTCAGGTGCGTGCCCTGCTCCCTGCTTCTCCGCCCAGCTGCCTCAGGTGCGTGCCCTGCTCCCTGCTTCTCCGCCCAGCTGCCTCAGGTGCGTGCCCTGCTCCCTGCTTCTCCGCCCAGCTGCCTCAGGTGCGTGCCCTGCTCCCTGCTTCTCCGCCCAGCTGCCTCAGGTGCGTGCCCTGCTCCCTGCTTCTCCGCCCAGCTGCCTCAGGTGCGTGCCCTGCTCCCTGCTTCTCCGCCCAGCTGCCTCAGGTGCGTGCCCTGCTCCCTGCTTCTCCGCCCAGCTGCCTCAGGTGCGTGCCCTGCTCCCTGCTTCTCCGCCCAGCTGCCTCAGGTGCGTGCCCTGCTCCCTGCTTCTCCGCCCAGCTGCCTCAGGTGCGTGCCCTGCTCCCTGCTTCTCCGCCCAGCTGCCTCAGGTGCGTGCCCTGCTCCCTGCTTCTCCGCCCAGCTGCCTCAGGTGCGTGCCCTGCTCCCTGCTTCTCCGCCCAGCTGCCTCAGGTGCGTGCCCTGCTCCCTGCTTCTCCGCCCAGCTGCCTCAGGTGCGTGCCCTGCTCCCTGCTTCTCCGCCCAGCTGCCTCAGGTGCGTGCCCTGCTCCCTGCTTCTCCGCCCAGCTGCCTCAGGTGCGTGCCCTGCTCCCTGCTTCTCCGCCCAGCTGCCTCAGGTGCGTGCCCTGCTCCCTGCTTCTCCGCCCAGCTGCCTCAGGTGCGTGCCCTGCTCCCTGCTTCTCCGCCCAGCTGCCTCAGGTGCGTGCCCTGCTCCCTGCTTCTCCGCCCAGCTGCCTCAGGTGCGTGCCCTGCTCCCTGCTTCTCCGCCCAGCTGCCTCAGGTGCGTGCCCTGCTCCCTGCTTCTCCGCCCAGCTGCCTCAGGTGCGTGCCCTGCTCCCTGCTTCTCCGCCCAGCTGCCTCAGGTGCGTGCCCTGCTCCCTGCTTCTCCGCCCAGCTGCCTCAGGTGCGTGCCCTGCTCCCTGCTTCTCCGCCCAGCTGCCTCAGGTGCGTGCCCTGCTCCCTGCTTCTCCGCCCAGCTGCCTCAGGTGCGTGCCCTGCTCCCTGCTTCTCCGCCCAGCTGCCTCAGGTGCGTGCCCTGCTCCCTGCTTCTCCGCCCAGCTGCCTCAGGTGCGTGCCCTGCTCCCTGCTTCTCCGCCCAGCTGCCTCAGGTGCGTGCCCTGCTCCCTGCTTCTCCGCCCAGCTGCCTCAGGTGCGTGCCCTGCTCCCTGCTTCTCCGCCCAGCTGCCTCAGGTGCGTGCCCTGCTCCCTGCTTCTCCGCCCAGCTGCCTCAGGTGCGTGCCCTGCTCCCTGCTTCTCCGCCCAGCTGCCTCAGGTGCGTGCCCTGCTCCCTGCTTCTCCGCCCAGCTGCCTCAGGTGCGTGCCCTGCTCCCTGCTTCTCCGCCCAGCTGCCTCAGGTGCGTGCCCTGCTCCCTGCTTCTCCGCCCAGCTGCCTCAGGTGCGTGCCCTGCTCCCTGCTTCTCCGCCCAGCTGCCTCAGGTGCGTGCCCTGCTCCCTGCTTCTCCGCCCAGCTGCCTCAGGTGCGTGCCCTGCTCCCTGCTTCTCCGCCCAGCTGCCTCAGGTGCGTGCCCTGCTCCCTGCTTCTCCGCCCAGCTGCCTCAGGTGCGTGCCCTGCTCCCTGCTTCTCCGCCCAGCTGCCTCAGGTGCGTGCCCTGCTCCCTGCTTCTCCGCCCAGCTGCCTCAGGTGCGTGCCCTGCTCCCTGCTTCTCCGCCCAGCTGCCTCAGGTGCGTGCCCTGCTCCCTGCTTCTCCGCCCAGCTGCCTCAGGTGCGTGCCCTGCTCCCTGCTTCTCCGCCCAGCTGCCTCAGGTGCGTGCCCTGCTCCCTGCTTCTCCGCCCAGCTGCCTCAGGTGCGTGCCCTGCTCCCTGCTTCTCCGCCCAGCTGCCTCAGGTGCGTGCCCTGCTCCCTGCTTCTCCGCCCAGCTGCCTCAGGTGCGTGCCCTGCTCCCTGCTTCTCCGCCCAGCTGCCTCAGGTGCGTGCCCTGCTCCCTGCTTCTCCGCCCAGCTGCCTCAGGTGCGTGCCCTGCTCCCTGCTTCTCCGCCCAGCTGCCTCAGGTGCGTGCCCTGCTCCCTGCTTCTCCGCCCAGCTGCCTCAGGTGCGTGCCCTGCTCCCTGCTTCTCCGCCCAGCTGCCTCAGGTGCGTGCCCTGCTCCCTGCTTCTCCGCCCAGCTGCCTCAGGTGCGTGCCCTGCTCCCTGCTTCTCCGCCCAGCTGCCTCAGGTGCGTGCCCTGCTCCCTGCTTCTCCGCCCAGCTGCCTCAGGTGCGTGCCCTGCTCCCTGCTTCTCCGCCCAGCTGCCTCAGGTGCGTGCCCTGCTCCCTGCTTCTCCGCCCAGCTGCCTCAGGTGCGTGCCCTGCTCCCTGCTTCTCCGCCCAGCTGCCTCAGGTGCGTGCCCTGCTCCCTGCTTCTCCGCCCAGCTGCCTCAGGTGCGTGCCCTGCTCCCTGCTTCTCCGCCCAGCTGCCTCAGGTGCGTGCCCTGCTCCCTGCTTCTCCGCCCAGCTGCCTCAGGTGCGTGCCCTGCTCCCTGCTTCTCCGCCCAGCTGCCTCAGGTGCGTGCCCTGCTCCCTGCTTCTCCGCCCAGCTGCCTCAGGTGCGTGCCCTGCTCCCTGCTTCTCCGCCCAGCTGCCTCAGGTGCGTGCCCTGCTCCCTGCTTCTCCGCCCAGCTGCCTCAGGTGCGTGCCCTGCTCCCTGCTTCTCCGCCCAGCTGCCTCAGGTGCGTGCCCTGCTCCCTGCTTCTCCGCCCAGCTGCCTCAGGTGCGTGCCCTGCTCCCTGCTTCTCCGCCCAGCTGCCTCAGGTGCGTGCCCTGCTCCCTGCTTCTCCGCCCAGCTGCCTCAGGTGCGTGCCCTGCTCCCTGCTTCTCCGCCCAGCTGCCTCAGGTGCGTGCCCTGCTCCCTGCTTCTCCGCCCAGCTGCCTCAGGTGCGTGCCCTGCTCCCTGCTTCTCCGCCCAGCTGCCTCAGGTGCGTGCCCTGCTCCCTGCTTCTCCGCCCAGCTGCCTCAGGTGCGTGCCCTGCTCCCTGCTTCTCCGCCCAGCTGCCTCAGGTGCGTGCCCTGCTCCCTGCTTCTCCGCCCAGCTGCCTCAGGTGCGTGCCCTGCTCCCTGCTTCTCCGCCCAGCTGCCTCAGGTGCGTGCCCTGCTCCCTGCTTCTCCGCCCAGCTGCCTCAGGTGCGTGCCCTGCTCCCTGCTTCTCCGCCCAGCTGCCTCAGGTGCGTGCCCTGCTCCCTGCTTCTCCGCCCAGCTGCCTCAGGTGCGTGCCCTGCTCCCTGCTTCTCCGCCCAGCTGCCTCAGGTGCGTGCCCTGCTCCCTGCTTCTCCGCCCAGCTGCCTCAGGTGCGTGCCCTGCTCCCTGCTTCTCCGCCCAGCTGCCTCAGGTGCGTGCCCTGCTCCCTGCTTCTCCGCCCAGCTGCCTCAGGTGCGTGCCCTGCTCCCTGCTTCTCCGCCCAGCTGCCTCAGGTGCGTGCCCTGCTCCCTGCTTCTCCGCCCAGCTGCCTCAGGTGCGTGCCCTGCTCCCTGCTTCTCCGCCCAGCTGCCTCAGGTGCGTGCCCTGCTCCCTGCTTCTCCGCCCAGCTGCCTCAGGTGCGTGCCCTGCTCCCTGCTTCTCCGCCCAGCTGCCTCAGGTGCGTGCCCTGCTCCCTGCTTCTCCGCCCAGCTGCCTCAGGTGCGTGCCCTGCTCCCTGCTTCTCCGCCCAGCTGCCTCAGGTGCGTGCCCTGCTCCCTGCTTCTCCGCCCAGCTGCCTCAGGTGCGTGCCCTGCTCCCTGCTTCTCCGCCCAGCTGCCTCAGGTGCGTGCCCTGCTCCCTGCTTCTCCGCCCAGCTGCCTCAGGTGCGTGCCCTGCTCCCTGCTTCTCCGCCCAGCTGCCTCAGGTGCGTGCCCTGCTCCCTGCTTCTCCGCCCAGCTGCCTCAGGTGCGTGCCCTGCTCCCTGCTTCTCCGCCCAGCTGCCTCAGGTGCGTGCCCTGCTCCCTGCTTCTCCGCCCAGCTGCCTCAGGTGCGTGCCCTGCTCCCTGCTTCTCCGCCCAGCTGCCTCAGGTGCGTGCCCTGCTCCCTGCTTCTCCGCCCAGCTGCCTCAGGTGCGTGCCCTGCTCCCTGCTTCTCCGCCCAGCTGCCTCAGGTGCGTGCCCTGCTCCCTGCTTCTCCGCCCAGCTGCCTCAGGTGCGTGCCCTGCTCCCTGCTTCTCCGCCCAGCTGCCTCAGGTGCGTGCCCTGCTCCCTGCTTCTCCGCCCAGCTGCCTCAGGTGCGTGCCCTGCTCCCTGCTTCTCCGCCCAGCTGCCTCAGGTGCGTGCCCTGCTCCCTGCTTCTCCGCCCAGCTGCCTCAGGTGCGTGCCCTGCTCCCTGCTTCTCCGCCCAGCTGCCTCAGGTGCGTGCCCTGCTCCCTGCTTCTCCGCCCAGCTGCCTCAGGTGCGTGCCCTGCTCCCTGCTTCTCCGCCCAGCTGCCTCAGGTGCGTGCCCTGCTCCCTGCTTCTCCGCCCAGCTGCCTCAGGTGCGTGCCCTGCTCCCTGCTTCTCCGCCCAGCTGCCTCAGGTGCGTGCCCTGCTCCCTGCTTCTCCGCCCAGCTGCCTCAGGTGCGTGCCCTGCTCCCTGCTTCTCCGCCCAGCTGCCTCAGGTGCGTGCCCTGCTCCCTGCTTCTCCGCCCAGCTGCCTCAGGTGCGTGCCCTGCTCCCTGCTTCTCCGCCCAGCTGCCTCAGGTGCGTGCCCTGCTCCCTGCTTCTCCGCCCAGCTGCCTCAGGTGCGTGCCCTGCTCCCTGCTTCTCCGCCCAGCTGCCTCAGGTGCGTGCCCTGCTCCCTGCTTCTCCGCCCAGCTGCCTCAGGTGCGTGCCCTGCTCCCTGCTTCTCCGCCCAGCTGCCTCAGGTGCGTGCCCTGCTCCCTGCTTCTCCGCCCAGCTGCCTCAGGTGCGTGCCCTGCTCCCTGCTTCTCCGCCCAGCTGCCTCAGGTGCGTGCCCTGCTCCCTGCTTCTCCGCCCAGCTGCCTCAGGTGCGTGCCCTGCTCCCTGCTTCTCCGCCCAGCTGCCTCAGGTGCGTGCCCTGCTCCCTGCTTCTCCGCCCAGCTGCCTCAGGTGCGTGCCCTGCTCCCTGCTTCTCCGCCCAGCTGCCTCAGGTGCGTGCCCTGCTCCCTGCTTCTCCGCCCAGCTGCCTCAGGTGCGTGCCCTGCTCCCTGCTTCTCCGCCCAGCTGCCTCAGGTGCGTGCCCTGCTCCCTGCTTCTCCGCCCAGCTGCCTCAGGTGCGTGCCCTGCTCCCTGCTTCTCCGCCCAGCTGCCTCAGGTGCGTGCCCTGCTCCCTGCTTCTCCGCCCAGCTGCCTCAGGTGCGTGCCCTGCTCCCTGCTTCTCCGCCCAGCTGCCTCAGGTGCGTGCCCTGCTCCCTGCTTCTCCGCCCAGCTGCCTCAGGTGCGTGCCCTGCTCCCTGCTTCTCCGCCCAGCTGCCTCAGGTGCGTGCCCTGCTCCCTGCTTCTCCGCCCAGCTGCCTCAGGTGCGTGCCCTGCTCCCTGCTTCTCCGCCCAGCTGCCTCAGGTGCGTGCCCTGCTCCCTGCTTCTCCGCCCAGCTGCCTCAGGTGCGTGCCCTGCTCCCTGCTTCTCCGCCCAGCTGCCTCAGGTGCGTGCCCTGCTCCCTGCTTCTCCGCCCAGCTGCCTCAGGTGCGTGCCCTGCTCCCTGCTTCTCCGCCCAGCTGCCTCAGGTGCGTGCCCTGCTCCCTGCTTCTCCGCCCAGCTGCCTCAGGTGCGTGCCCTGCTCCCTGCTTCTCCGCCCAGCTGCCTCAGGTGCGTGCCCTGCTCCCTGCTTCTCCGCCCAGCTGCCTCAGGTGCGTGCCCTGCTCCCTGCTTCTCCGCCCAGCTGCCTCAGGTGCGTGCCCTGCTCCCTGCTTCTCCGCCCAGCTGCCTCAGGTGCGTGCCCTGCTCCCTGCTTCTCCGCCCAGCTGCCTCAGGTGCGTGCCCTGCTCCCTGCTTCTCCGCCCAGCTGCCTCAGGTGCGTGCCCTGCTCCCTGCTTCTCCGCCCAGCTGCCTCAGGTGCGTGCCCTGCTCCCTGCTTCTCCGCCCAGCTGCCTCAGGTGCGTGCCCTGCTCCCTGCTTCTCCGCCCAGCTGCCTCAGGTGCGTGCCCTGCTCCCTGCTTCTCCGCCCAGCTGCCTCAGGTGCGTGCCCTGCTCCCTGCTTCTCCGCCCAGCTGCCTCAGGTGCGTGCCCTGCTCCCTGCTTCTCCGCCCAGCTGCCTCAGGTGCGTGCCCTGCTCCCTGCTTCTCCGCCCAGCTGCCTCAGGTGCGTGCCCTGCTCCCTGCTTCTCCGCCCAGCTGCCTCAGGTGCGTGCCCTGCTCCCTGCTTCTCCGCCCAGCTGCCTCAGGTGCGTGCCCTGCTCCCTGCTTCTCCGCCCAGCTGCCTCAGGTGCGTGCCCTGCTCCCTGCTTCTCCGCCCAGCTGCCTCAGGTGCGTGCCCTGCTCCCTGCTTCTCCGCCCAGCTGCCTCAGGTGCGTGCCCTGCTCCCTGCTTCTCCGCCCAGCTGCCTCAGGTGCGTGCCCTGCTCCCTGCTTCTCCGCCCAGCTGCCTCAGGTGCGTGCCCTGCTCCCTGCTTCTCCGCCCAGCTGCCTCAGGTGCGTGCCCTGCTCCCTGCTTCTCCGCCCAGCTGCCTCAGGTGCGTGCCCTGCTCCCTGCTTCTCCGCCCAGCTGCCTCAGGTGCGTGCCCTGCTCCCTGCTTCTCCGCCCAGCTGCCTCAGGTGCGTGCCCTGCTCCCTGCTTCTCCGCCCAGCTGCCTCAGGTGCGTGCCCTGCTCCCTGCTTCTCCGCCCAGCTGCCTCAGGTGCGTGCCCTGCTCCCTGCTTCTCCGCCCAGCTGCCTCAGGTGCGTGCCCTGCTCCCTGCTTCTCCGCCCAGCTGCCTCAGGTGCGTGCCCTGCTCCCTGCTTCTCCGCCCAGCTGCCTCAGGTGCGTGCCCTGCTCCCTGCTTCTCCGCCCAGCTGCCTCAGGTGCGTGCCCTGCTCCCTGCTTCTCCGCCCAGCTGCCTCAGGTGCGTGCCCTGCTCCCTGCTTCTCCGCCCAGCTGCCTCAGGTGCGTGCCCTGCTCCCTGCTTCTCCGCCCAGCTGCCTCAGGTGCGTGCCCTGCTCCCTGCTTCTCCGCCCAGCTGCCTCAGGTGCGTGCCCTGCTCCCTGCTTCTCCGCCCAGCTGCCTCAGGTGCGTGCCCTGCTCCCTGCTTCTCCGCCCAGCTGCCTCAGGTGCGTGCCCTGCTCCCTGCTTCTCCGCCCAGCTGCCTCAGGTGCGTGCCCTGCTCCCTGCTTCTCCGCCCAGCTGCCTCAGGTGCGTGCCCTGCTCCCTGCTTCTCCGCCCAGCTGCCTCAGGTGCGTGCCCTGCTCCCTGCTTCTCCGCCCAGCTGCCTCAGGTGCGTGCCCTGCTCCCTGCTTCTCCGCCCAGCTGCCTCAGGTGCGTGCCCTGCTCCCTGCTTCTCCGCCCAGCTGCCTCAGGTGCGTGCCCTGCTCCCTGCTTCTCCGCCCAGCTGCCTCAGGTGCGTGCCCTGCTCCCTGCTTCTCCGCCCAGCTGCCTCAGGTGCGTGCCCTGCTCCCTGCTTCTCCGCCCAGCTGCCTCAGGTGCGTGCCCTGCTCCCTGCTTCTCCGCCCAGCTGCCTCAGGTGCGTGCCCTGCTCCCTGCTTCTCCGCCCAGCTGCCTCAGGTGCGTGCCCTGCTCCCTGCTTCTCCGCCCAGCTGCCTCAGGTGCGTGCCCTGCTCCCTGCTTCTCCGCCCAGCTGCCTCAGGTGCGTGCCCTGCTCCCTGCTTCTCCGCCCAGCTGCCTCAGGTGCGTGCCCTGCTCCCTGCTTCTCCGCCCAGCTGCCTCAGGTGCGTGCCCTGCTCCCTGCTTCTCCGCCCAGCTGCCTCAGGTGCGTGCCCTGCTCCCTGCTTCTCCGCCCAGCTGCCTCAGGTGCGTGCCCTGCTCCCTGCTTCTCCGCCCAGCTGCCTCAGGTGCGTGCCCTGCTCCCTGCTTCTCCGCCCAGCTGCCTCAGGTGCGTGCCCTGCTCCCTGCTTCTCCGCCCAGCTGCCTCAGGTGCGTGCCCTGCTCCCTGCTTCTCCGCCCAGCTGCCTCAGGTGCGTGCCCTGCTCCCTGCTTCTCCGCCCAGCTGCCTCAGGTGCGTGCCCTGCTCCCTGCTTCTCCGCCCAGCTGCCTCAGGTGCGTGCCCTGCTCCCTGCTTCTCCGCCCAGCTGCCTCAGGTGCGTGCCCTGCTCCCTGCTTCTCCGCCCAGCTGCCTCAGGTGCGTGCCCTGCTCCCTGCTTCTCCGCCCAGCTGCCTCAGGTGCGTGCCCTGCTCCCTGCTTCTCCGCCCAGCTGCCTCAGGTGCGTGCCCTGCTCCCTGCTTCTCCGCCCAGCTGCCTCAGGTGCGTGCCCTGCTCCCTGCTTCTCCGCCCAGCTGCCTCAGGTGCGTGCCCTGCTCCCTGCTTCTCCGCCCAGCTGCCTCAGGTGCGTGCCCTGCTCCCTGCTTCTCCGCCCAGCTGCCTCAGGTGCGTGCCCTGCTCCCTGCTTCTCCGCCCAGCTGCCTCAGGTGCGTGCCCTGCTCCCTGCTTCTCCGCCCAGCTGCCTCAGGTGCGTGCCCTGCTCCCTGCTTCTCCGCCCAGCTGCCTCAGGTGCGTGCCCTGCTCCCTGCTTCTCCGCCCAGCTGCCTCAGGTGCGTGCCCTGCTCCCTGCTTCTCCGCCCAGCTGCCTCAGGTGCGTGCCCTGCTCCCTGCTTCTCCGCCCAGCTGCCTCAGGTGCGTGCCCTGCTCCCTGCTTCTCCGCCCAGCTGCCTCAGGTGCGTGCCCTGCTCCCTGCTTCTCCGCCCAGCTGCCTCAGGTGCGTGCCCTGCTGCCTCAGGTGCGCTCTGCTGCCACAGGTGTGTGCGCTGCTGCCTGCTTCCCCCGCCCGTTGGGAAGGTGGGAGACTTGATGCTGCACCGCATGCTCACACCACCCCTACCCATCACTCAACCTCTTCCCGTCCCCCCCTCCTCCTCCTCCCTCGGGCCCACATGCGAGCCAGTCAGTGCTGCAGGACCGCAGCGCAGTGCAGCGCATCGTGGGTGCGTTGGAGCCGCTGGTGCGCGCTGCTGATGGCAGCGCGGGGGAGAGGGTCGCCATGCGGGTGAGAGGGGGGGGGTTGGTGGGAATGTGAGTAAGTGGTGGTGCATGCCATGAGTGAACCCCAAAATCCATTTCTTCTTCCTTTCCCTCCCTTCTCTCGGTCTGTTTACTCTCTATTTCTCCCCTTGACACACCCCTACCTTCCCTTACTCGATCCCCCTCCCTCCTCCCTCCTCGCGCCACTACTCCCCCCGTTCCCTTCTCCTGCGTGCACATTCAAGGTCGACTTGGAAACCGAGAATGGTCGCTCCACAACGGCTCTTTTCTCTCACCGCCGCTTATCAGTGTGAGTGTTTATCTGAGTGCATTTTAGTCAGTGTGAAGTCTTATCAGAGTGAGTGCTGATGAGTATGAGTGCTACTCTGTGAGAGTTCCTAACAGTGAGTTCCTAACAGTGAGTTCCTAACAGTGAGTTCCTAACAGTGAGTTCCTAACAGTGAGTTCCGAACAGTGAGTTCCTAACAGTGAGTTCCTAACAGTGAGTTCCTAACAGTGAGTTCCTAACAGTGAGTTCCTAACAGTGAGTTCCGAACAGTGAGTTCCGAACAGTGAGTTCCGAACAGTGAGTTCCTAACAGTGAGTTCCTAACAGTGAGTTCCTAACAGTGAGTTCCTAACAGTGAGTTCCTAACAGTGAGTTCCTAACAGTGAGTTCCTAACAGTGAGTTCCTAACAGTGAGTTCCTAACAGTGAGTTCCTAACAGTGAGTTCCTAACAGTGAGTTCCTAACAGTGAGTTCCTAACAGTGAGTTCCTAACAGTGAGTTCCTAACAGTGAGTTCCGAACAGTGAGTTCCTAACAGTGAGTTCCTAACAGTGAGTTCCTAACAGTGAGTTCCTAACAGTGAGTTCCTAACAGTGAGTTCCTAACAGTGAGTTCCTAACAGTGAGTTCCTAACAGTGAGTTCCTAACAGTGAGTTCCTAACAGTGAGTTCCTAACAGTGAGTTCCTAACAGTGAGTTCCTAACAGTGAGTTCCTAACAGTGAGTTCCTAACAGTGAGTTCCTAACAGTGAGTTCCTAACAGTGAGTTCCTAACAGTGAGTTCCTAACAGTGAGTTCCTAACAGTGAGTTCCTAACAGTGAGTTCCTAACAGTGAGTTCCTAACAGTGAGTTCCTAACAGTGAGTTCCTAACAGTGAGTTCCTAACAGTGAGTTCCTAACAGTG